GATGTCATGTCCCCAGTTCTCCCTTGTGGACGGGACGTCTCAGCAGCCCCTGCTGGGCCCTGGGCCTCACCCTCGCTCACAGTTCCTAGAGGCAAAGGAAGTGGGAGCGGCTACTTCCTTCCAGGAAGACCTGTGTGTTGTTCTTTAAAGGGGTCCAGAGCTCAGGGAGGATGTCTGGGGGGTGGGGGGAGGGCGGGGGCCAGGCCCGGGGACCAGCCTCATCCTGACCACCCTCCATCATGTGGCTCTCCATCCCCCCTCCCCACCTAGACGCATAGGGGCATGGGGTGTGCACGTGCAGCACATACTGGCACACACATGCACACGTGCCCCATGCACACACACGCAGACACATGCATGCACACACAAGCGCACCTGGGAATGGGTCTAAGTGGCTCCACTGGTGGCAGAGAAGTGAAGGAGCAGGGCAGCGGCTGGGTGGGGAAAGGGTGGGGGCAGACTAGGGAGGGCTGCCTGGAGGAGGCGTCAGAGTAGAGGGAAGTCAGGGCAGGAAAGGGGAAAGAGCATTCCAGGACAGGGGGCACAAAGGAAAGTCACCTTGGGTAACCTTGGGCTTCCCTCCTGGGCCCTTGGGAGCAGGCTGGTACCTGACTTCCTCTTTCTCCCCCACTTACTGTTAGCTGTCTATTTTTATTTGCTAGATTCCCAGCCCGGAAGGGTTAAGACAGTTCTCACATCTGTGCCCTTCCTCCCCACGGAGCATTCGGCAGCAGCCCGACCACAGCTTCCTGTATTTCTTCATACAGAGGAGGCTGTGTCTGGTCACCCTCAGGCCTGGGCCCACACTGCTTCTCAGGGGCCTAGCCCCAGGCCACAGCTGCAATGGGGACCAGCGGCTTCCCAGCATACCCCTCCCCTCCCTTCTCACCCTAGAGCTCTCTGCAAGGAGACCCTCCTAGGAGCAGCTGAGCTTTGGAGCAGGACTCTGTTGGTGGGAGGTGGGCTGGGTGGGGCTCCTCAGCCACAAGCCCCTGGGGAGGGGGACGTGGGAAGTGGGGGTGAGAGAGTTCCCCTTCTCTGAGGTCACCTTGTTCATCCTCATCTCAGCCCATCCTTCCCAGCTGCAGACCATGTCTCCGGCTCTGGAGCTGGGCACGGTATTTTCACGGCAATCACATTGCTCTACACACATTAATATTCCAGAATATTCGAGATCATTCCTTTCTTTCTTTTTTTCTGATAAGGTATTTCGTGTTTACAAAAGTCTAACTATCAGCACAGGGACGTCCCTGCCCATAAGCTGGAGGGTGGAGGCCGAGAGCTCCCGTCCTGGCCCTGGCTCACGTCCCCAGGCCCTCACAGCTTTATCTGCTCTGGCCCTGGCGGTGGCCACAGGCTGTGCTTTCTTTTATGCAGCATGGGGCTGGCAAGTGGCTGTGGCGTGGCCCTGCCAGGCGGGGCTTAACCAAGTGCAGAAGCACCAGCTTCGACTCACCAGGTGCTCCTCTGCACCTGTTACTTTATGCCAGACACAGAGCTGGGTGCACAGAGTGACCCCTCGGGGCCAGCTGCCTGCCGGGTGCAGGGGGGCAGATGCTAGTTTGCCTGCTGCATGCAGGCCTGTTACACACAGGGCTGCCAGGCCAGCAGCAGCAAGTATTTCTTGAGCAGAAATAAATGGTTTTATTCGGAGGAGGGAAGTACAATTACTTCCGTTTTGCGACTTACATAACATAGACTGAGCCCAGGGTTTTGAAGACTGACTGCACCCGAGAAGCGCCTGCGGTGCCTGTGGGACTCAGCCGCTGCCCAGCCCCACAACTGTCCTTGAGCAGGGAGGGGCGGCGGCGGGGCGGCTGAAGTGTCCCGTGGGATCTCACCTGCACGGCCCCGGGAGCTGTCGTTGGTGCCTTCAAGGCCCTGTGAGACAAGAAGAGTCAAAGCAATGCTCACAGGTTAGATCCTTTTCACACCTGATTATCTGCGCATGAAGGCGCCACGACCCGTCACACGTGGAGGAGGGCCGGGGCCGCAGGGACGCGAGCACCAGCAGCTGGACATGCAGCAGCAGGGCGAGGCCAGCGCCTCGCGGGTTCAAGCAAGACTCGCCATCCCGCCATCTGTTGGTGGCCACTGGCCGTGGTGGACGGCTCTGCCGTGGGCATGGGTGTGTGGAGGCCCAGGCCCCTGCTTGCGGGCCGGCTCTCGCGGGAGTGCCGGGCTGAGGATTTGGAGAACGGCTGAGCTGCGTGCATTCCGCAGCCACTGCGCAGGGAATCTGCTCCTGCCCACCAGCACCCTCAGGGGGCCACCCGCACGGCCAGCCAGCTGCCTCGTTTTCTGTTTTCCCCGCAGTGGCTCTCCTGAGGGGCGCGAGGGGTGTCTGCGCCTCCATTTCCTTAGTGAGTGGTGACATTTAGCGACTTTCGTGCTGACTTGACGGCCACGGAGCAGCCTCCTTGGACAGTGTCGCATCCCTGGCCATTGAAGGGGTTCAATGGCCTTGCGTGGCTGAGCTGCGGAGAGCGTCACGCAGCCCTGCTTCCAGCTCCCCATCTGATAATGCGCTGCGAGGGTTTTCTCCTATTTGTGGGCCTCCTTTCCGTTATTTGGAGAGAACCCTTTGAGCCACCGCGTTTTTATTTTGATGAATTCACTTATTTTTTTCTCTCATTGAGCTTTTGGTGTCACAGGCAGGATATCCTCGCTGAGCCCCACGCCGTGGCACACCCCCTACATCTCTTGCCCCTCTATTTTGTCAAAAGAATTGTACTTCAAACCTACCCCTGGCAACAGGCCCCAGGAGCACTGGGAGGCCAGGCCTCCTCTACGCCATGGAGTAGCTAATTGTTTACCGGGATGGAATTCCTGCCGGTCAACCATGCCAACACGAACAACCCTGGGTCTTTCCGTCTATTCTGTACATTCTGCTCATGCCCCCTTTTTGCATCAGTATTTTATTATTTACAAACTATTTTCCCATCTGAACTTCAAAGAATTCCTGAGAGTTAGCCAGAGCAGCAGACCCATTTGCAGGCCCAGAGGCTGAAGGGGGCACTGGCCGGCAAGTCCTTCAGCCAATTTCAACTTCACTTGCCTGGGCTCTGCTGTGGGGCGCTGAGATCACCAGGTGGGGGGTGGGTAGCAGGTTCAACAAGCTCCTCCCCCCCCCCCCCCAGGCTACCTGTCTCTCAGTGACACTCTGTGGCCTTTCCGCCTCTGGTTTTGGCTGCTGGGTAGCTCCAAGCCCATGTCCTCAGGGACGGGCAAAGCTTTCTGCAGCGCTGAGGAAGCACCTGGGGCAGAGCAGCAGGGATTACAGAAAGCTCAGAGCCAGGAGCCAGGAGCCCCTTGGAGGTCAGCTGGGCCACCCTGGCAGTGAAGGCGTCCTAGAGAAGTGGACTTATGTGGGCCTGCTCGTGGCTGGAGCCCCTGGGGCTCGCCCCTCCAACCTGGACCTCTTCCTGAAGCCTATCCCCGTCGGAGGAAAAGGAGCACCGCTCTGCTTGCGTCCTACTGGGTCCCCACCGGGAGAGCTGCCAAGTGCCTGCCTCCTGGAATCCCAGCCCCACCCTGCAGGGTCTGCATAAACAGGAAGCACAGGCTTGGGGCGAGGAGGGGCTCGGAAGTCACACACCCGCAGCTGACTCCAGCCCAGGTCCCTCTAAGCACAGGCTCTGCTGCTTTCGGAGTCCTGGCTCCTGCCCCTCCTGGAGATTCCCGGGAGACACGCACAGCCCTGCCTGCTACGGAGGGTGCCAAACACAAGGACGCGGTGGTGAAAACCAGACAAGAATGAGCAAAATCTGTCCTTCGCAATCAGTGACTACTTGTCACGGCTCACTGAGGGCCGTGCGGAGGCCAGGCAGCCTGAGACCTGAGCGAGAGCCACCTGGGGCCTCAGGACGGTTAGGGAGCTGAGGACAGAGAGCAGCCCACCCTCCTTCCTGGCAGTCAGGCTACAGCAGGGCCTGCCGGGCTCCAAGGATGAAGGACGCCCCCAGGGTCCAGGCCAGGTCCACCCTCCCGGCCCCCTTTCATTCTGATGCTGCTTTGCAGTTATTGGCCCTTTTCTTCCTAGGCTGAGTAAAACAGGAATCACAGATGTGTGACCGTATTTTTAAGCACTTGTTTTAAAAAACAGGGAATCAGTGTCTTACTGGAACAGAGAAGTTCCCCTGGGGTCCAGGGCATGTCACAGGGCCCTCAGGAGGCCTGGCCCACGGTCACCTGCCAGGCAGCGGGCCTGGTCCCAGGCTCTCTGTCCAAGTCGGCCTCCTGGCGCGACGCCCCTTTCCCTGGTCCAGCCCGGGGCTGGCGGCCTGGCCTGGGCATCGCTAGGAGCTGGCCGGCCGGCCTGTCTGGCCTCACTTAACCTCCTACTGGACGCGGCTGCTCTTATGAACTAGGCGCGGATGTTTCTGTGCCGTCCCCGCCGGCCCCGCGGCTGCCCGCGCCGGCCAACCCCGCCAACCCCGCGCCTCGGCCCGGAGGACTTCCCGGAGGAGGCGCGAGGGGCGCGCCGGCCCGGGCCCCTCCAAGGCCTCCGCGCAGGGCCGCGGTCAGGGACCTTCACGCCCGCCCGCGGGCCCCACCCATCCTCCCTCGGCTCCCGCGGGCAGCGGCTCCCCCGGGCAGCGGCCAGGGCGGGGAGCGCGAGGGCGCAGACGCGCGCGGGGTCCCGAGGGGCTTGTTCGGAAATGACGACCACCGGGCCCCGCCCCTAACCCAGACCCCGCCCCTCGGCCCCGCCCAGACCCCGCCCCTGCTCCCGGGCCCGCAGGCCAGTCCTCGGCTCAGGCCCCGCCCCCGGCCTTCGGCCCCGCCCCAGTCCCCGCCCGGCTCGGCGGGTACGGCCCCTTCTCGGCCCCGCCCCCAAGGGCCCCGCCCACCCTCTTGGCCCCGCCCCCGCCCGGCCGGCCCGCCCGGCGGAGGCGCCCCCAGGCCCGGGCGCGGGTGCCGGACCAGCCGCTCGACGCGCGCGGCAGGGCCGGGCCGGGCTCCCGAGCGGCCGCGGCGGGGCCGCCCCAGGAGCAGCCATGGCGGAGGCCGCGCCGCAGGGCCCGCCGCCCCCCGCGGGGCTGCTGGAGCTGTGCGCGCTGCTGGGCGCGCCCCGGGGGCGCCGGCGCGGCCCGGAGCAGGTGAGGCGGGCCGGGGGGCCGGGGGGGCCGGGGGGCCGGGGGGGCCGGGGGGGCCGGGCGGGGGGGCCGGGGGGGTCGGGGCGGGGGGGCCGGGGGGGCAGGTCCGCGCACCCCGCCGGCCCGCGGACCCCCTCCGGCGGCGGCGGCGCTTGTCCGCGGCCCGCGCCGCTGCTTCTGCGTGCGGCGCCGACTGCCGTGCCCCGCGGCCCCCGGCCCGGCCCGGCCCGGCCTCTCACCCTCCGGGACCCGCGGGCGGCGGCGCCGGCCCGAGGCTGCCCTGCGGCGCCTGTGTCCGCGGGGCTGCCCCGCTCCCCGGCGGCCCGCGAGGCCGCTGCCCGGCAGGCAGGCCTTGCTCGGGGGCGCCGGGGCTGGGGGGGCGCCGGGGCTGGGGCCGCCGGGGCTGGGGGGGCGCCGGGGCTGGGGGGTGGCGGGGCTGGGGGGGCGCCGGGCCTGGGGGGCGCCGGGGGACCCGCAGCCGCGACGCGCGTGAGCGGCCGTGCGGGCCCCGGGCTGGCAGCGGCCGGGGCCACCCGCGCCCCTCGCCGCCTCCCCGGCGCCCCGCGGCCTCCGCTCCCGCCTCTGACCCGGGGTCCCCATCGCGGCGCGGCTCCTCGCGGGGGACATGCCCGCTGCCCCGCGGGCGCCCGAGGCGTCGTGCCCACCGTGCCCGCCCGGGCAGGACTCCGGGCCCCAGGGACGAGCCAGCGGGGGTTCGGGCCGGGATTTCCTGGTCTGTGCCCTCCCCTGCCCTGGTCTGTGCCCTCCCCGGCCCTGGTCTGTGCCCTCCCCTGCCCTGGTCTGTGCCCTCCCCGGCCCTGGTCTGTGCCCTCCCCGCGGGCTGGGCAGAGGCGGAGACACCCGCGGGGAGGGGGCGCTGCGTTCCGGGGCGCCGGCCTGGAGACCCGGTCACCCGCCAGCACAGCAGTTCCTTTACCGTCCCAGCCGCTGCTCTTCGAAGCCACCACTTCATTGTGACTCAGGCATTCCAGCTCGGTGACCCCTGAGAACAGGTGCCTGGAAATATGAGAAATATTCTCCTCAGTCTCGGGGTGGTGTCGCGCCCCCCTCCTGTCCTATGTCGGAGACGAGGCCACGTTTGTCGGGCACAGTGAGGAGGACTTCAAGAAGACACTTCAGCCCCCACCTAAGTTGTTGTGGTTACTCCTTGGTTGCTATGGCGATGCTGCCCGGTGTGGAGGAATTCCGGGACGTCACCCGGCTTCGCGGACGACGGCCGTGTCCTTTAGCTGCGTCGCCCAACTTGGTAGCCGCAGCCACGTGGCTGCCGGGCGCCTGACGTGTGGCTTGTGCCGCTGTGGAACTGGATTTTAAATTTCATTTTGTTTTGATTCATTTAAACAGTCATGTGCGTGGCCGGTGGCCATGGTGAGGGGCGGCCAGGCCCCAGGGTGTGTCACGGGCGTCCATCTCTGTGTGGGGTCACGGGCTACTGTGAGCCGGAGCCGGCGTGGAGTGGGACTCAGCGGCCATCGGGTGGGGGTTGGTGGGTCTGTGTGTGGAGAGGAGCAGGCACAGCTGTTGGGTGCGTGGAAATGTGGCTGGTGGGGAGGGTGCCTGCACCGCGCCACAGAAGGAACAGGGTGCCCGGAGGCAAGCCTCAGAGGCCTATGGCTTGTAGCGGGCAGGCGGGCGGGCGGGAGTCACGTCAGGCGGGCGGGAAGCAGGGGGAGGGCTCTCTGGTTGTGTCTCTCGCCCCGCCCAGCTGTGAGCAGCCCCTGCGCCACGCTGAGTGGCTGCATAGGAAAAAAGTGGCTCAAACAGGAGGGTGGCGTTCCAGTCGAGGAGACGGGGGATTGTACCCTGAGAAGCCCAGTCTCGTGGAGAAGGCCGATTGCCAGGGGGGCGCCCTCCGGCCCTGTCTCTGAGTGGCTGGAGGGGGAGGGAGAGGCGGGAGGCTGTTAGCTTTGGTGCCATGGCTGGTGCTCGGTCCCCGCGGGAAGGCCTGGGTGATGATCCGGCGTAGGTGGACGGGGGAGCAGCAGCGTCCACTGTGGCTGTCTTCTGGGCCCTAGACGGTGAAGTGCAGCCAGGCACCCTGTCACAGCCAGAACCAGAGTTTGGAGCTGCTGAAGGGCCTGGCGTGGTGGCAGCGGGGCCAGTGTGGGCTCTTGGCTCCAGCCCCATGTCAGCTGCCCAGCAGGTCGGGCACTTGAGAAGGGGCAGGGACCAAGGATTTATCGGGGAGGGGCGGTGTCAGGACAGAGCAAGCAAGCAGTCAGGAGCAGTCAGGACAGAGCAGTCAGGAGCAGTCAGGACAGAGGAGCAGTCAGGAGCAGTCAGGACAGAGCAAGCGAGCAGAACTATGAGGGAAGTTTCTGGAAAAGGTGCTGGCGGCGGTCTCTCAGCCCCTGGCCAGCTGCTTGTGATTTCCGCCCAGAGTGGGACTCCCTTGGTGTCCTGGATGGACCGACCTTTTTCTGTGCAGGAGAAACAGAGGCTCGCGTTTTCCTGGCCAGTGGGGTTGAACCTCTGGGTTTGGGAGGAACGCTTTAGAAGAGGCCATTCACCCCTTTTGCGAGCGTGACACGGGCTTGACACCTGCGTCTCCGTGACGGGACTGAAGCCGCGGCATCAACCGTCTGCAAACTCGACGCGGACTGTGAGTGCTCCCGACGCGGCGTGAAGCAGGCGGTGCGTGAGAGGGCCCGCGCCGATGGCTGTTTGCCTCAATCCTTAAGTGGAAGGTTCCCCCACGGGACCCGACTCTGACAAAGGCTTGGTGCTGGAGAGAGTCTGTCTCCGCGGCCACGCGCGCGTTGCTCCGTGCCAGGCACGCGGCGGAGGAGGAACAGGAGGTGGAGAGAAGAGACTGAAAAGGCTTAACAATAAAATAAGTGCCAAGTTCAAGACTCAATCACTCCTGCGTGGACCCCCTGGATCACGTGGACCCCCGAGGCTGCGTCTCTCCGCTCTGTCCCATCTCTGCCTCATCTCTGCCTCTTGACTCCTCCTCTGTGTCTCCCCCGGGGCCGGGCCTGCTGGTGAGGGGCCTGCCAGTGCGAAGAGGCCCCCCTCCCCCCACCTCCCAGGGGAGTGGGGCTTCCCGGGGCTGCGGGGACTGAGTTCCTCCGCTTCCCTCTGTCCCCTGTACTCACCGCCTGCCAGGGAGGCCCTGGGGGACAGCGTGACTTGCTGCCTGGCCCCAGACCCGCTGGGATCTGTAGTCCGCTCGGCGCAGCAGCGCGTTGTGTCCTCAGCGGCGTGAGTGCCCATGGCGGCGGCCTGGCTGTCACAAGCGCCAGCGGGGGCAGCTGCACTGTGGCTGTGGCTGCCGGTGGGGGCGGGAGCGACAGGGCAGCTTGCGGGGGCCAGCAGGACAGGGCTCCTCCCCTGCGGTGACGTGTGCTTCTGCCTTTTCCAGGTGGCCCAGAAAAAGGGAGTCAAAGGCGTTTCTCTGGAGCCGGAGGTCCTGTCCGTGTTCGTGCCTCCGTTCGTCTGCCAGGAGGATGGCCGTGCAGCCAGCGCCAAGGGTGCCACGCTGAGCAAGGCCCGCAGGCGCTCCTTCAGGAAGAAACGGGAGCGGCCCAGCGCCGAGGCCTGGCAGGACCAGCCGGGGGGCCCCCGCGGGCCGGAACCTGAGGACATCAGCGTCCCCGACGGCGTGGACCTCCTGGCCCTGCCTCAGCTGTGCTTCCCAGGTACTTGGGCCGGTGGTGGGCTGGCCGCCAGAGGCCGGTCTGCCTGGAGGAGCTTCCTGGTCAGGGAGCGGCCGGTGCCCTGGCGGCCTGGGGCCCGGCCGGGGTTGCATGTTCTTAACTGGGGGCTTCAAAGCTGGAGGTGTGCTTAGTTCATTCAGCGCAGCCTCCACTCTTGGGAACAGTCTTGGAGGAGAGGCTGTGGATAGCAGAGGTGTTTGGGGTGCTGCCCAGGGCTGGCCGGCTTGGATTTAGAGAGCTGGCCTTTACCTGGGTTAAAATTCACCCAGGTGGGGTCTCCCCGGTGACGCAGCGGGTTGAGCACCGCGCTGTGAAGCTGTCCGCAGCCTCTGCAGTACGGTTCTGTTCCCGGCCGGCCAGGGAGATTCCCACATGGCGCGGCAGACCTCTCCTGTCTCCCCGCTGCTCCCCTTGGCAGTGTCTTTGGCCTGTCTGCCTGTTAGGTTCCCAGCTCTGTCTCTGGTGAATCCTGTCACCCTCCTGCGCTTCTGGCCTTTACCCCAGCTCTTGTATAAATAAAATAAATCTTTAAAAAGAAAAATTCACCCAGGTGGCCTGTGGTGGCTGAACCCCAGAGTGGGCCCCGCACACCCTGTTTCCTGTGTCCCTGAGACCAGAAGCTGGGGTTCGGCACGTGCATGAACCCCTAAGCTCACCAGCTCCTGCTAGCAGTGGGCTTGTGTCCCGGACTTTGATCTTTTCACTGGTCTTTGAGGAACGTTAAGGTGACTGATGCAGAAAACGCCGACGGAAGCTCAATGTAGAAGTCTCGTGCTTTCCGTCAGTAAATTGAGGCAGGCTCCTGGTCTCGGGGTCTCCACCCCTGGGACCTGCTGGGCCACCTTTTCTCTCCACAGTGCTGTCCTGAGGGGCTCTCTGGCTGTCCAGCTGTGCCCTCACTAAATCTCCAGACACAGAGGGACAGAGGCACACAGGGGGCCTGGGGCAGGTGGGGCTGGCCAGCAGCATGGCCCATGCATCAGCACACCCTGGCGTCAGAGCCACAGCTGATGGTCAAGAGGGACGGGGCCCTGTGCACTGGCTCCTGGGCTCCTGGGTAGCCCAAGCCTTCAAGATGCCCCGACCCAAGGGAGCCTCCTTCTTTTTCTGCCTGCAGGGGGCATGTGTGTGGCCTCTGCACCCAAGGAGGACTATGTCCACTTTCTGGTGCTCACTGATGTCTGTGGGAACAGAACCTATGGTGTGGTTGCCCAGTACCACCGACCCCTGCAGGTGCGTCACCCTGAAACGGGCCGGGGCAGGGCCACCTCTGACCACCCGTGTGACCTCCACTCCCGACAGGGCCGTCGGCCGCGAGAGGCGTGTGGGGCGGGAGCTCAGGAGGGGGCTGGGGAGGACGGTCCACCTGAGCCCTGTCTGCCCGGGATGCTGAGCCCCGCTGCTGAGGGCGGTGACCGGGCGGCTGTCCGCAGGACGAGCACTGCTTCTACAACGGAAGAGCACACAGGGAGCCGTCGGGCCCGACCGCCAGCGCTGCCGGCTGCTTCGTGCCCTTCGCCGTGTGCGTGGTGTCCCGGTTCCCCTACTACAACGCCTTCAAGGACTGCCTGTCCTGGTGAGCCTCGGCTGGCTGTGGGCGCCTGGGCTCCAGGGCGGGGCAGGCTCAGGTTTGGCCCAGTGGTCCTGGGAAGCCCAGATGCTTCTGGAAGTGACCACAAGGGAGTGGTGTGGTCACAGGGTGCCAGTCAGCCCCAATGTCGGACAGGAGGTTGATCTGGGGGATTTTACCTCTGCCTGGGTCTTTACAAGAGAACAGCATCAGAGAAAACTCCCCGGCTAGCGGAGCGAGTTGGGGGACCGCTGGCCTCCAGGGGGGTTATTAAAGGCATCTTAAAGGTGACTGTCCGGGCAGGGTTGGTCTTGAAGTGTCTAAATGCTGACGCTGGGCAGGAAGCCAAGGAGGCCGGGGGCTTTCTGGTGCCCCTGGGGGACGTGTGCGGGGTGGTCAGCGTCCCGGGCACTTGCACTGCCCTCCACTCTGTCTGCATCCTCAGAGGTGTCCTCTCGGCAGCCACTGTCCCTGGGGCTGCATTTGTGTCGTGATGCTGCGTGGCAGCCCGTGGCTGTCCCTGGTGCCTCCTGAAGGACAGTCACTCACCCTGCCTGCCCCTGGACGAGCACAGCAGCGGGGTGCTGAGCAGGACACCCTCCTGGCCCGGTCAGCACCCTGGGAATTAAAATCCCAGCCTGATGGTGCTCAATAATTTTAAACATGGCTGCTCTGCGGCCACAGCGTGGTCTAGCTGCGTTTTATTCCACCTGTGTAAAGCCCATGGAGCAGAGGGCCGCCGTGGCCCTGCACTCTGGGACCAGAAGCGGTCGATGTGACTTCAGGCCCTGGCCCCGCCGGGCCACTAGCTGATGACCTTTAGCACATGAGGTTCAACAGCTTTTCAGTCTTCAGAGGAAGACTTCCGCTTCCTCTTCCGCAGAACGGTCCGTCTCTCCCTTTACTGCACCAAAGGGGCTGAGAGCCCTGGCTGGACCGCGGCAGGCCGCCCTGGCCCTCCCCGTGCCCCTGTTCAGGGCTGGCCGCGACGCGTCATCACAGCACACGTCCAACCGCCAGACGCTGGTGCCAGCCAGTGACTCAGAGACGCCAGCTTTTCACGCTCCTGCGTCTTCTCTTTCTTGTACCGCCATCGCTGAGCAATCAGAACCACAGCGGTGCAGCGCAGTCAAGCGGCGGAACTGAAAACGCAGCATGCACACACGAGCTGACGTGCGCGTTCTAGGCCGGACATGTGCGTTCTAGGCCGCCTCCCTCCCCGGGGATGGCCCTGCCTGAGGCCTCCACGTGGCAGGGTAGTGGAGCAGACACTTACCTAGCAGTGCTCGGGGGAAATCAGATAATGAAAGTTTGTTTTCACACCTCACTCGCTGCTGCTGTGTTTTCACAACACATTCACCCCCGAGGGACATTGACTTATTCCCGATGCTGCCCATGGGTGACTATTCGTTCTCGAGTGCATGGGCGTGGCCTTGCGTGGGCCCAGGCAGTCCGGGTCTGTCCTGGGAGGGCGGGGTGTCTTGGGGCTCCGCTGTGACTGCCTGACCAAGCGGGGCCCTCAGGTAGACCTCCGCTCGCTCCTCAGTGGCCCCGTCCCGAGGGCTCTCACCTGCCTCTGCCCTCCACTGACCCTGAGGTCTCGGGGGGCCTGCCTCATGGGGAGAACACGGGTGAAGCCAGGGGGAGGCGATGAGGCCGCAGTGAGGACCTGTCAGGCTGCTGTTTCCCATGTTGTAGAAGCGCGTCCCGAGCTTGGCCTTTCTGTGCACGTGGACACGAGAACGCGCACGTTTTCGCTCCAACAACCAGCCTCCCTGCGGGCTCGTGGGCCTGCACGGAACCAGCCGCTTTCAGACAGTCGGCTGCGCTTTGTCGAAGGGACATGTCCCTCTAACCCCCAGTGTAGTTAAGACGTGGGGTGTTTTCACCTCCCAGAGTTCCCTTGTCCCCCTGTAGTCACCTCCTAGGCCCGTCCCCCTGCCCCCGGGGGCCACCGCCCGGTCGTGTTTGCATTCCGTGCTCCCCGCGTCAGAGTGTCCCGGGCCGGCTGGCCGTGGCTCCCCCGGGCCATGCTGTCCATTCCTGATGAAGCGCACGGACACACAGAGGACCCCACACCCCTCCAGCGACCCCACAAACCCAACGCCCGTGAGCGGCCCCATATCAAGGGGCAGGGCGTGACCCAGGCCCCCAAGTGCCAGCTCCTTCCAGCCCCACCCGCCCTCTCACCTGCCGGAGACCCCGAGGGTGACGGCCCCGTCTCCTCTTGACGTGTTTGTCTTCCCGTTTCAGCTTATTGACTCAGCTGAAGCTCTGCAAAGATTTTGAAGTTGACAATCACATAAAAGACTTTGCTGCAAAACTGTCCTTAATACCCAGCCCGCCGCCTGGACCACTCCATTTGGTAATTGGCTCGAGAATGATTTTCTGTTCTTTCTTTGGAAGCCGCAGAGGCGACGCCATGAAGGCGGTCCAGGTGGCTGTGTTCACGTCTCCCGCCGCGAGCTCGCGTGCACAGTCTATCCAAGGCCAAAACCAGAAATAAACCAGAAACATTCCGGAAGCGTAGAAGTTAAAACATTTACCTGACGTCAAGGGTTTTCCTTGTGCCGAGTGGCGCGGCCGGGCGCGGAGCGGGAAGCTGGCCGTGCTGGGCACGAGACCGTTGCTGCTGGGCCGAGGACTCCGGAACCGCAGTCACAGGCTCCCCTTTTGCTTCTCCGTCCGGACTCTCGGGGCTGCAATTGATTCCTCCCTGTTTCCTGCTGTCTGGGGTGATGAGTGAACAGCAACGGGGTTTATACTCTGGTCACTCTCGGTGCCACTGTGTGGTAGGAAAGCGTCCCTGAACCGGGTTCTGTGGACACTGGTTCTGTGACACTAGCCTCCCCCGCCACGGGGCCGAGTGGGGGACGGTGGGAGAGCAGTGGCCCGGGTCCCCAGGCCCCTCGGCCGCCAGCGCTGCGAGGACGCCCGTTTGCTAATTTAGCTATAGGGCACTCCCCTTTTTTGGAAACAGACACCCAAGAAGTAAACATCTTGGGGTGCAGAGCGAGTGTCAACTCAGTTTTGCTGCCAGTCCCTTGGGGATACTGTCTCTGAGGTGTCATTGCTCTTCTCTGATGATTACTGGAGACGGGAGGTCACCCCACCAGGCGGCAGGGGCCCACCGCGGGCTCGGCACACCTGCCGGCTTCTGCTGAGCAGAGGTGCCGAGGCGCCTGTCGCTGTCCAGGAGGGCGGGCGCCCCGGAGAGGGCAGCTGGGGCGGGTGGCCGCGCCTTGGCCCCCGCGGGCGGCTCTGCGCTGACTTGGCCTTGGTCATCACAGATGCTCAACATGAAGCCCCTGCAGGTTGTGTTTCCCTCCCGCGCGGACCCCGACAGCCCCCTCATCGACCTGGACCTCCACCTGCCCTTCCTGTGCTTTCGGCCCGAGAAGGTGCTCCAGGTAGGCCCCTGACCCGAGGGCGCGTGCCCCCTGACTCGACGGGCACCCCGAGTCCGGTCGTTTCCCAGCTTGCAAACTAGTGGCCTCGAAACACCGGGTTTCTGCTTGAAGCCGGCGGGCACGGCCGTGCACGGCCTCTGCTGGGCTCTCCCCGGGGCAGCGAGGCTGTGTCTAGTGAGCAGGGAGCCGGGGAAACCTGACTCCTTCTGGTGGGGGCAGTTTGCGAGCCTTGGAGCGGACATGCGCGAGGCCTGACATGTCGCCCCCAGATCCTGACGTGCCTCCTGACGGAGCAGCGTGTGGTGCTGTTCTCCTCCAACTGGGCCCTGTTGACGCTGGTGGCCGAGTGCTTCCTGGCCTTCCTGCACCCGCTGCAGTGGCAGCACACCTTTGTGCCCGTCCTGTCGAGCCAGATGCTGGACTTCCTCATGGCTCCCACCTCCTTCCTCATGGGCTGCCACCTCGACCACTTTGAAGAAGTCAGCAAGGTCAGGTATCGACCGGCAGGTCTGCGGCCTGTTGCCAGCACCAGCGGGACGCCGGTTTGAAGTGTCCTGAGTGAAGCCAGGGCTGGGGGGCTGCTTGGTGGGGCACCAGGCCCTGAACACACGCAGGTGTGTGCACATGCCCATGGCGCTCTGGGGTGGTCCCCCCACCTCAGGCCGTGAATGTGTTCTGGGTGCCAGAACCTTCTTCGCTGCTTGACTCACTGAAATTCCCAGCAGCCTCAGTGGCTTCCGGTGGTTTTTGCGTGCGGGAGCGCAGCCATGTTGGGTGGGGGCTGGCTTTGTCGAGCTCTATGGTATTTACTGGTTTTGGGACCTTGAGTGAGCCGCGCGCCTTCACTGGGCCTCAGCGTCCCCCCAGGAAGGGGGCTGGGAGGTGCTCTCAAGTCGGGTTCTGGCGAGGGACTTCGCACACTCCACCCGGCGCCCGAGGCGGCTCGGCTGGCAGGGCTGCCGTCGTTTCTGTGTCATTTATCTTTTGGGGAGGCTTCTGCGGTTCTCCGATCCCATGCCCGCGAGTCGGGCCCTGGCCGAGTCGGCTGCCGCTTGCTCTCTGTCTGACCCGTGGGCAGTGCCGGGCCCTGTTGTCCTGCTGGAGACAGGCAGGCCGGTGCTGGCTCAGCCTCTGCGCCACAGGCCGCGCCGGCTCAGGGTGCGCTGGGGTCGGAGGCGAGCCTGGACCGACGCTCAGGGAGGGGACGCCGGTGGCCTCGCGGGCCCAGTGCTCTTCCTGTCTGCCCTGGAGTCTCTGCTGGAGCCCTGAGGGCACACCAGGGCCTCTCCCGGGACAGCGACACTCAGCGTGACGCCTGTCTCGCCACAGACAAGCACTCGGCTGCCCATTTCAGGAATTCTAAGTGGGTGGCCGCGCCCAGCCACACTTCTCAGAGGGCAGAGCTGATGGGGAGCTGGGCAGGCACGAGGCTGGATGCCTGCGCTGGATTCTGGCGTGTTCTCTCCAGGCTCCTTGAGGGGGTAGCTGCAGGGCTTGTGCCAGGGTAGGGAGAGCCGGACAACATGTAGTGGACTCCTGACCCACACGCAGCATCATTTCATCAAGCTCAGCTCCCTGCTGTAACTCGAGGCGTAGACTGTTCTGGGGGTGACAAGACTTCGTATTAAACGGGGTGATGAGGATGCGACCGTCGGGACCGGGCAGCAGGTCCGGGTGTCCTCAGAGAGGGGCCCAATGTCAAAGACACTCACGTCGGCCTCTCCTGCCCACTCCCAGGAGGCAGACGGGTTGGTCCTGATCAGCGTGGACAGCGGGAGTGTCACCTGCTCCAATGACCAGGGAGTCTCCGTTCCCAACGTCCCGCTGCTGGAAGCGCAGACCTTCATCCAGAGGTAAAGGGGGCGGGTCTGCACCCCAGGCCCCCGGTCCCGCTCCGCCCACGCTCACCCCTCACCCCGCGGGGTCCCCAACCTGGGCTCGTTGAGAGATGTAGTCTATGGATTTAGTTGGGAAATTTGTATTTTAAAATAAAAGAGTGCTGTCTCTTTACCCTGATCTGTTTACCAGCTCACTGTGGCCCTCCGGGCCGGGGCAGCCCCGTCCCCGGCAGCCTGGGCCCAGGGTCCGGCCTGCGACCTGGAGCCCCTCCCCCACCCCATCCTCCTCCCTCCTCACCTGTCACCCCTCACCGGGCCGCGTGTGCTAGGGACAGAGCCCTGCTCCGCAGCGGACAGAACGGGCTCAGCCCCGAGCAGGGCACCCCCCGCCCCCCATGCTGGGCTCCGCACCTCGTTGCAGAGCCGGTGGGGGCTTCTCTGTCCCTGGTCCCCTTTGCTGGTGTCCCTGGGTGTCAGTGCTGCCCGCCACGGGCTGGAGGGAGCACACTCAGGCTTGGCGAGCCCCGGGCGCCTGTGCTGGGGGAGGGGCTTGGCGGGGGTCTGATGGGCGCTGCTTCTGGGTGGAAGAAAGGAGGGGTCACTGATGGTGTCAGGACACAGGGCCTGTTCCTCCTGGGTGGGCGCAGGGAGGGACAGCGCCAGGGTCCCCACCGCTTATCCAGAGTGTTTCCCCTTCGGTGTCGCATGAAATGGCAGAGGGAGAGCCCCCGCTTCTGGGCCTGTCGGTAAGGGACTGCGGTCGACGCCCTGTGTCCCGAGAAGGGCCCCGTGCACCCCAGTGCTGTGCCGAGGCGTCCAGATGAACGTGGGGCGCACCCCTCAGCGCCCCTGCCCTCTGCCCAGGCGGCTCCTGCAGGTGCGGCATCCTGGGCTTCCTGCCACCTGTGAGCTTCCTGCCGGCCCGGGGGCTCGAGCCCGGCACCGGCCCTGTCCTCACTGTGGCCCCGTGGCCAGGACCGGACGAAGTGCATCTGGCTGCTCCTGCGGGCAGCTGCCTGCAGCCCGGGGCCTCTGCACATGTGGGGTGATCAGTGCGTCCCCCAGCCTGTGTTTGGACTTAGTCCCTCCGGCCCCACCACCCCGTGCAGGAGCCACACTGGCCCCTGCCAGCCCGCTCTCCCCTGAGGAGCTGGCGGTGGCCCCCCCGGTGCTCCCGCTGTCCCCCCAAGCCCCGGTCCCCGGCTCGCCACGGCTGGGCCGGCCCGGCCTCCCCGTCACCTCCTCTCCCGCGGTGCCTGTCTGTTCTCTCTCGTCGGCTCCGCGGGCTGGGCCTGGTCTGCTGCTCGTCCCTCGGGGGCTGGCGCGGGCGCAGCGGGGCTCTTGCCTGCGGCAGGTTTGCTTCGGTGCTCACAGCCAGACTCCCGCTGGTCTTCAGGCACAGCTCAGGTTGGGCCTGGGGGCTGTGCCCGCACCTGTGCCCGTGAGCCCCGCAGCCCCGTGTAGCCTCGCCCTCTGAACCTGGCCCCACAGTCAGTGGCGACCCCTGGTGGCCAGGCGTGGGGCCTCCCGGGACTGTGGCCCGACCTGCCAGGCAGGGTGTGGGGCCAGCGTGGACAGGAAGTGGGGTGGGTGGGGCGCACCCCACCAGTCCAAGCAGTGGCTGATGGGACTTCGGCTGGGATCAGCCAGGAGTGTGGTCCGAGGTTGAGACCCCGGTGAGGTCGTGCTGGCTGGCACGTAGAAGGGGTGAACGACCTCCCAGGCGTGATTTTTCCGGTGCTGGCATGTGCTGGCTGTCACTGCCTGGAGAGTGGGGTCCCGGTCCCGGCGTGTCCCCAGGCTGGCCGTGGGCGCAAGGAGTGTGATCCCAAGCCACTGTCTGCCCCCAGGGCCCAGAGCCTGCGGCTGCACTATGAGCTGGACCTCGCCCACCTGGCGGCCAGCACGGACCTGAGCGAGGGGCGAGCCCGCAGGCGGGCCTGGCAGCAGGACCTCAACTGCCAGATCCAGCACATGGCGCTGCAGCTGCTGGTCGGCATCTTCAGGTACCCAGCCCAGCCATTCCTGGGGGGGCCCTGGGTTGCCCCCCCCCCAGTGGGAGACCCTCCCGCCTCTGTGCGGGTGCCTGGGAGGGTGGTCTCTGGGCCGGCACCTGTGACACCCCTGCTCGGGGCCAGTGCTGGGGGGGCGGGCGGTGACCGTGGGGAATGGAGCCACATGCAGGGGGGAGCCAGAGCCCTCAGGAGGGGCCCCAGCGGGGGGCTTCTTCCTTCCAGTCCTGGCAACTTCCCTCAGCAGCGCCGCCCCCTGGTGGCTGCCGGGAGAGAGACGGGCTGCGGGCGGGTTTCCCTCCCGCGCTCTCCCTGAGCCTTCGTGGGCGCCGGTGCGTTCCTGGGGACACAAGAAAACGTAGCGACGGATTCAGATGGGACCATGCCCCAGGGGAGGGCGGTCCTCCCCACGGCCTGGCCTGCTGCCGACTCTGTGGCTCACAGACCGGCAAGGGCCGGCCCCCCATGTCGCCTGAACCCCACTGCAGGCGGCTGCCCTTGACGGCGGCCAGCAGTACCGCCCACCCCGAGTGTCAGGCGGGGGCAAGCGGGTGGGGACCCAGGACACACCAACAGCAGCAGGGGTGGGCCCCCTGGCAGGGTCCCCCCACTCCGCTGACCGGCCGCCTCTGCAGGGATGTGAAGAACCACCTCAACTACGAGCACCGCGTGTTCAACAGCGCGGAGTTCCTCAAGACCAGGGCCCCAGGGGACCAGCAGTTCTACCGGCAGGTGAGTGTCCACCTGCTGCCAGGGCACGCTTTCCTGTGCGTTTCTGGGCCTGTTGGGCCACGTTGGTGGCCAGCCCCTGCCCCACAGCCACGCCTGGCCCCTGGCCGCCCTGCTTCCTGCCTCCCTTCCAGAGCAGCACACAGGCTAGGCCGAGGCCGCGGGGTAGTCCGTCTCGCCCGGCTTGGTCTGACCCGGCCCAGCCCCCAGCCGCCTGTGGGTGCCGCACAGGGTGGGCGAGTGCGCTGGGCACCCCCGTTCCCACCTTGGACTCCTCAGCCTTGGCCATGTCGGGCTCGTCTGGCAGGGAGAGCAGCGCCAGCTCGTCCTGACCCTCCCGGGGCCACGGGCAGCCTGGCCACCCAGAGGGAGGACGGTGGCCACGGGTGCAAGGCCCAAGGGGGTGCCCAGCACGAAACTCAGACTGGTTGTGGCTTCCTCTGGGGCAAGGTGGTTTGGGCTTTTGAAGCTTTTGTGACTTTCAAACACAAAGGGCGGCCGGGCCCTCCAGTCGGATGGCGTCAAGGGCCGCAGTCAGGAGCCGGGGCGTCGGGAGCCGGGGCGGGTGCGGGGCGGGAGGCAGCGCAGCCCAGTGAGTGGAGCCTGTCGTCTGTTTCAGGTCCTGGACACGTACATGTTTCATTCTTTCCTCAAAGCCCGGCTCAGCAGAACTATGGATGCCTTCGCTCAGATGGACCTTAGCACGCAGTCCAAGGAGGACAGGTATGGCCAGCCCGGTGCACGGCGCGGGCCCAGGGCTCATGCAGAGTCTTTGTCTCCACGGAGGAACGACAGATTCCGTTGGAAGAGACTCGCATGCAGAGCCTCATGATGAGTTGAGCGGGCGGCCGCCAGGCCTGCTCGCCTGTGTTAGTCCCCGAGCTTGCCGCGTCTGCGCCCCGGGCCCGTGTCCACCCCGCTTTCTCCCTCTGTCCCCCGGCTCTGCTCGCTCCCCGTCCAGCTTCCTTCTCTTTCTCCCCCCATGTGCTCTGCACCCAGAGCCGTTTCCACCTTGCCCGTGTTGCTCCTCTCAACATCCTTCCACCAGCACAGCTGCAGATGGTGCCTTGTGCCCTCACCCCGGCCCAGTCTCTCTGGGCGTGCAGCCCCCATGCGGGAGTGGAGACGCGTGTCCGCTGCTCCCCATGGCGTGGGGGCCTCGCAGAGGAATGGCCTCCTCGCGCTGGGTGCCCCCCCGTCCCTTGCTCCGGTGGCTCTGAGGCCCTGGCTTCCTTCTCCCAGGATCAACGGGATGCTCATCAGCCCACGGAGACCAACCATCGAGAAAATTGCCTCCCGGAAGCCTTCGGCCCTGCAGGTGGCGCACCGGCGCATGGTGGTCAGCATGCCTGACCTGCAGGCCATCACTGTCCCCGAGCTGCTGCCCCGCAACTCCTCGCTGCGGACACCGGGCCCTGTGGGCCACGGGGACAGCCCCGCCGGTGGGTCATGCCACCAAGCCTTGGGGAGGGGGCGGGGCCTCCATCCATCGAGGGCCCAGTTGTTTGGAACACGTCCAGGCGTGCGCTGTGCAAGCCGTCCGGTCGGGAAGCGGCTCGCGTGTGCTCCTCGCCACAGCCCAGCTGTCAGCACGTATGTGCACAGACCCAGGTGTGGACACACAGTCCGTGTTGTGTGCAGGGCGCCATGCAGCAACCCCCGCAGCGTCACTGCTTTCTCTGGTGTATGCACCTGCAGACTGGAGGGGCCGACACCAGGAGGCACTGTGTGTCCAGAGGGACCGCTGGTGGAGCAGCCTCGGGCCGCTAGGGCCGGGCGCCCTGGGCAGGGCTCCTGGGGTGTGAGCCGCACACCTGCTGGCTGCCGTGTCCTGGCCGCCGGAGTCCTGGAGGTGATTCCCGTGGAAAGAGTGGGCGTGAGACACCTGGCTTAGGCCTGGCACGTCACAGCTGAGTGGCCGGACAGGCGGGAGCCTTGGTTCCCATGTCTGCGTGACGGACGAGAAGCCCCCGGGGTCTCCAGCCGTTCTGCAGACGCATCGTCATGTCACTGGGGCACGCCCGGCTGGGGCTGGGGTCGGGCCAGGCCCTCAGACTCGCTGCCGAGTCAGCATTGTTTTGGCAATTAAAGCGCCGGGACCTCAGGGTGGGAAGCAGAACGGGCTCCGGCTCAGCTGGGGTGGGGCTCTCCGGCAGGGGTGCCCACTGCCGGCTCCGCGGCCTCCGAGGCAGAAAGGCGGACCTGGACGCCGGGGGGACACGCGTCAGGCTGTGCTGAGTGTCCCCTTCTCCCCTTCGTTCTCAGTTCCGAATGTGCCCCCTAAGGCAACATACACCTTCAAGATCCCCGAGGTCCACTTTCCGCTGGTGAGCCAGTGCGTGCAGGCCTACTACACGGACTGCGTGGCCCTGCTGACCAAGGCCATGGGGCTGCTGGCCCCTGACCACTCGGCGCTGCTGGCCAGGTACTTCTACCTGCGGGGGTTCGTGTACCTGATGCAAGGCCAGCTGCTGGCCGCCCTGCTCGACTTCCAGAGTCTGTACAAGACGGATGTGAGGATCTTCCCTGCCGCGCTCGTGAGGAGGACGGTGGAGTCCATGGCAGCCCCCGAGCGGGCCCAGGCCGAGTGCACGCCTGAGCTCCGGCGGCTCATCAGCGAGGTCACGGACCAGCCCTGCGAGGCCCCCAAGGCCGACGACCGCGTCAAGAACTTCGAGCTGCCCAGGCAGCACATGCCGCTGGACGACTTCGTGAAGCGGGTCCAGGAGTCGGGCATCGTGAGGGACACCAGCACCATCAACCGGCTGTTCGAAGCATTGACTGTGGGTAAGAGGGCGGCCTGGGCGGGCGCCGTGTGGGCAGTTGGCACGGGTGGGCGGCCTGAGGCCCCCAGGGCAGCAGGACAATGGCCCTCTTCCCCCAGGGCCGGGGGCAGCTGGCCACGTCGGTGTTGGCAGGTTTGCTGGAGAAAAGCGGTGTGTGGTGGGCACGGAGCCCCATAAAGATGCAGCAGTGAAGGCTCACGGCTGTCCTGGGGTGGCACTGGGGGCTGGGGAGCACGGAGCCCTGCTGGGCGAGCAGAGGTGGCCCCGCTGCAGAGAAGCCTCCTCAGGCGCCGGCGTGCGTCCGTCCAGCTCCCGGAGGCCTGCCGGCAGGACGGGGACTCCCGCTGATTCCCTGGCCTCAGCCTCTCTTGGGACATCCGTGTGTCTGCGGAGCGGGGGCCCTGCATGGGTGCGCAGACGAGGAGCCCCCTGTTGGGACCAGGGACCCCTGTTGTGCGGCCAGAAGGCCGTCCAGGCTGCTGCGCGGGGTCTGCTCTGCCAGCCTGGTCCCAGCAGGGCCCTGCCAGCCTGGTCCCGGCCCAGGACAGAGGTCCGGGGCGGCAGGAGCCGGCACAGGGAGCAACGGGCTTGCCTCTTAGCAGGTGTAGGGCCCAGCTCCAGCTCGTAGACAGGACAGCGGTTCTGCGCCTGATGTCCTGGCGCTCACCCTGGGCCCCGTGCCCGCATCTGTGCAGAGCCCTGCGGCCTGCATGTCGGGACACTAGGGAAGGTTTCCGGGTCAGCAGGTGTTCTTGGTTGCAGATAAGAAAAGGAACCTTTCGTTTTTAGAATAGCCTGAGTTCCACGGCAGAGCTAGCATCAGGCAGGGTTGATCCAGGGCCATGGGCCCGGCGTCCCTCTGGCCCCAGCGTGGCTGCCAGTCCGCAGGTGGCAGGTCTCACCATAGCGAGTGGGGCTCTGCCAGTGCTGCCTGCAGGCCTGTGGGTTTCCGTGAGGACCTGGCCTGGGTGCCCCCTCGCCCTCGCTTCCATTGGCGACCGACGTCCTGGCACCCCCTGCTGCCGTGTCTGGGCAGCGCGCCGTGGCTGCGCCCGCTTCCCTGAGACCCTCTCTCCTCGGCGTCTCGAAGGGCACCAGAAACTGATTGACCCGGACACGTTCAGGGATTTCTACACCTGCTGGAAGGAGACAGAGGCCGAGGCCCAGGAGGTCAGCCTGCCCCCGTCGGCGGTGGAGCGCCTGGACAAGAACGAGTGTGTGTACAAGCTGTCCAGCTCCGTCAAGACGAGCCGCGGTGTGGGCAAGATCGCCATGACGCAGAAGCGCCTGTTCCTCCTGACCGAGGGGCGGCCCGGCTTCGTGGACATCGCCGCCTTCAGGGACATCGAGGTGAGGGCCGGGCGCGCTGGGGGCCAGGCGGGCGCTGCAGCCGGGGAGGTCGGAGGACCGCAAGACTGGGCACGGCCACTGGGGGGCAGGGGCCGCAGCCTGGGAGACGCCACCCCGAACCCCCCCAAGACCCCCTCGAGCCCCTGCGAGTACCCCAGCCCTCGGCCCCCCGCTCTCCGCGCCCTCCCCCCGCCCCGTGCCCCTCGCACCCCCGCGCGGCCCAGGCCGGTGCCCACGAGCGGCAGCGGCAGGGTCACGTCGCCGTGGGGGGCCCGGGCCCGAGCAGCGTCCACTGGCCCTCTCCCGGTGGTGTCCCACTGCCGTGGGGCCGTGTCCTGACTGCAGGGAGGGAGGCGGCTGAGGAGGCAAAGGGAGAAGCGCCCGGGACGGCGGCCTCCCAGGCCTGTGGCCACCAGTGGGGCCCGGCCCGGCCGTTCCTGAGGGGCGCCCGCACGGCCGTTTGGGGGACCCATGCGCGGCCCCCTGGCCTGTGCCGACTCTGTCCCCGCGCAGGAGGTGCGCAGCACCACGGTGGCCTTCCTGGTGCTGAGGATCCCCACCCTGAAGATCAAGACGGCGGCCCGGAAAGACGCGTTTGAGGCGAACCTGAAGACCGAGTGCGACCTGTGGTGCCTGATGGTGAAGGAGATGTGGGCGGGCAAGCAGCTGGCCGACGGCCACAAGGTGGGGGTCAGACCCGGCCGGCCACGAGGTCCCCGTGGGCGCTGCTGGCTCCTGCTGCGCCTCGTGTGTCCCGGGCTCCCTGTGCCCCATCAGCCGGGGCGGCGCCTCTGGGGACACCAGATTGGGACCCGGCGGCCCTGGGCCGCGGTGGGGGCAGAGGCGGACGCGAGGGGGGACCTTCCTACCGTCTGACCGCAGCGCCCGCCGCAGGGATAGTGTTTGGGCCACACGCACTGGGGGGCGGTGGGCACGCCCGGCCCCGAGGTCTGCAGAGGTTTCTGAGCCCAGGGCGGACCCAGGCCCCTCGGCGTCCATGTCCTGCGGCTGCCGGGCCGGCCGGCTGTCGGGTTTCTTGCCCACGGGCTGACCAGGCTGAGGCCCGCCGGCCCGCGTCTGCAGCAGTTCCGAGGCGCCGGCCCGCGGCGGGACGCTCAGGGCCAGCAGCCCCTGGGGGCCCTGCTGACCTCTGTGTCTCCCCAGGACCCCCAGTACATCCAGCAAGCGCTCACGCACGCCCTGCTGATGGACGCGGTGGTCGGCACGCTGCAGTCGCCCGGCGCCATCTACGCGGCGTCCAAGCTGTCCGTGTTCGACAAGATGAAGACGGAGAGTGAGTGGGCGCATGGGCTCCCGCCGGCACCAGGCCCCGCTTCGCTTCTCCGCCCGCGGTGTTTGCGCTTCACGCCGCATCTGTCGTCTCCGCCTGCTCACGGGGTGGGGGTGGGGGGCGGGTCTCCTTTGAAGACCCCCAAGCGCAAGAATCAGCCCCAGGCAAGAAGGCCCGCAGGCCGCCCCGTAGTTCACTCTGGAGCAGCGCCGGGCGCCGCGGGGGCTTTAGAGGCCACCCCTCTGGCCTGCGCGCGTTCCCGCGGGGCAGAGGCTTTATCGGGGTAAAATCCCGAGGGTGCACCCGAGCGTCACCACCCCAGGCCTCCCAGCCGCAGCGCCCGCCCCTCAGGTGCCGCCCCAGCAAGCAGCCCTGGCCTGGCGCAGCAGCCTGCGTCCCAGCGCCCACCTGCCGGTCTCTGCGTCCTGCCCGGGGACCTCTCCTGCGAGGGCTCGTCTCTCCCGGCCACTCGCTCCCTGGCCACTCCTGGTCACGTGTCCCCCAGACAGGCGTTTCCTTCCCCCGGGTCGGGTCGAGCGCCAGGGGGCTGTTACAGGTCTGTTTGTTTAGACTCAGGTTTTCAAAACATCCTGGAATGAGGAAAAGCAGCCCGGGCAGGGCGCGCACCCTACGGGCACGTAGCTCTTCGCTGGCACCGCTCGCTCCCAAGCCCGCCCCGGGGCCTGCTAGGCAGGCTGGGGCGTCAGCTGCCCGAGCCAGAGTCCACCCTGGCCTCTTCCCAGCCAGACACCAAGTCAGACAAGCAACTCCACATGCCCTGCCCGTCCAGAGGAGCGGCTCTGGGCAGCTGGCCATCCCCACGGCGGGCCCACAGAGTGCGTGCTGCTTGCTGACCGCCTGGGCAAGCAGCAGGGGTGGGGCGGCCCATGGGAGCCCTCGCGTGCCCACGTCCAGGCTGATGTTGCTCCCCAGTGCACCTGGGAGGGGTGGCCCAGAGGTGTTGGGCAGCAGACGTGGCACCTGGGTGCTCTGGGTGCCGAGCCGTGGGCTGAGGGCGGCCAGCACCCGGGGCCAGGACGCAGTGTGGGCCCCTCTCTGGGCTGTACCCTGGAACATTTACCCGTGGGGAGGGGCTTTAGGAGTTCAGGTGTCCTCAGTCTCTTGCTGGTGGCGTGTTAAGGCTGAGTGTGGCAGAGGCGGGGCTGGGCTCATGGCTGAGAAGGGCCGGTGGCTAGCAGCTGGCCCTCCGCCCACGCCCGACACGCCCGCTGCCTCAGCGTCTGGGCTCAGCTGCCCCTCCACATCGTGTTCGCATTTGTCTAAAAGTGAAGTCAGGGTTGCCTCCCCCACACTGGCATGCCACAGGCAGCGTGTGCATGGCCGATGGGGTGACTGCCCGTCTGCTTGGGTTGCAGTGCCCATGGCCATGCCCAAGACCACCTCAGAGACACTGAAGCACAAAATCAACCCGTCAGCTGGGGAGACGCTGCCGCTGGCTGTGGACGTGCTGCTGTACACGCCAGGTGAGGGCCGTGCCCGCCAGGGGGGCGTGCCCGTGTGGCTGTGGGCCCTGCCATCCCTCGATGTGCAGGGGCAGGCATGAGGCCAGGCTGGGGGCGAGCCCTTGGGCCGTGGCTGGGGAGCTGCTGTGGCCGCTCTGTGGCCTCTCGTCGTGAGGGGCCGAGACCCCGAGTTGGGCGTTGGTCTCCCATTCCAGGGCGGTCCCAGCACCTCCCCTTCACGGTCACCCACGAGACCTGGCCGTGGCGGAGATGAGGCCACTGTCCCTTCACGCTGGTCTGGAAACTGCGGACCCGAGGGGCTGCTGCCCGGCCCCTTCCCTCTTAGCTGCTGCCTGGCCCCCAGGAGCCATCCGCGGACAGGGGCAGGAGGCGGGGCCGCCTGGGCTAAGAGGGCACGGAGAGCCCGCTCGGTCTGTTGGGAGCACCGGCCTCACACCCCTCCTGAGGCCAGGCCGCTCTGCGGGGAGCCCGGGGCCCTGGTCTGGGCGGAGATGGCCCTGAGCCTGGCGGCCTCCTTGGGGGGCTCCTGTGCGCGGGGAGCCTGGGCGGGGGGAGCGCCATCTGGCCCCAGTGTCGGGGGCCCGGGAGGGAGGCTCAGTGGAGGAGCAGCCGCTGCCTTGTGCGAGGCCGCCCCCTCCCCAGCCAGGCCCCGTCCAGCGGGGGCCCCGGCGGTGCGTGGCGTCCAGGTGCGTGGGGAGTCTCGGGGCTGAGCTGGTGTCCCGACGGCGCTGGGGCAGGGGCTCCTGCGTCCCCAGAGGGCGGGCAGGGTGGGACAGCCGAGAAGCCTCGTGGGGATAGCCCCCAGCGGGCCCCTTGGGGTGCTTGGCGGGATCTCAGACCCCAGGAGAGTCGGGGAGCGGCCTCGGGCGCACAGCCAGCGCCAAGCAGCCCCGTGATGTGGGCGAAGGGCACAACAGTGGCAACACCTGCCCCCGCAGGACCGAGTGAGACCCAGAGAGGCCACAAGCTTGGGCCACGGAGCAGGCGGGGACACCCCTCTGTGGGCAGCGTGTCTGCATGGGGGCGGGCGGGGGCGCCCCTGTGGCCGCACCGAGGGCTTCTCCGGACGTCCTTGCGCTGCTTTCCTCTCAGGGCACCTCGACCCGGCGGAAAAAGCGGAGGACGCGCACCCCAAGCTGTGGTGCGCCCTCAGCGAGGGCAAAGTGGTCGTGTTCGATGCCTCCTCCTGGACCGTCCACCAGCACTGCTTTAAAGTGGGCGCTGCGCGGCTGGTGAGTGACCGCCGGCCCCCGGTGGGCTGCTCCTCTCGGTGACTTGTCGCGCCGCCCTGTGCCAGGCGTTGGTTCTGGGGGGCAGGCGCGGCCCGGAACTTACTGGAAGCGGACACGGGGGAGTTGCACATGTTCCGGATTGGAAAGGGACGCGTTCGCCCCCGCCGTGGCGTCGGGCTGCCCGTGGCCGAGACGCCTGCGTCCCCGAGCTCCGAGGCTGGCTGCTTTCCTTCGGTGAAGTTTGTGCTTTGGAGTCGTCCTCACCTCCCGGGACGGTCGTGACGCTTGTAGGGGTGTCAGCAGCCCACGCCCCACTCTCCGCCTCCCACCACCTCTCGTCGCTGTGGCCGTCACCTGGCTCAGGGCCCTCCCTGAGGGGGACACTGGCCGTCCTGTCCCTGCCCCTGCCCGGGACCGTGTCCCCGTCTGCATGGACACGCCTGGGTTCCGGGTTCTAGAAGGAGCGGAGGGGAGGCCAGTGCCCTGGCCAAGACCTGCCCGTGGTGCTGGTGTCCCGCGCTGAGCGGTCACTCCTGTCCCGCAGGGCAGTGCCCCCACCTGCTTCCTGCTGCCCACTTCGGAAGTGACTTTAGCGCAGGCTGTGTGGGGAGGCTGCGGTGCCCGGCGCCCACTCTCGGGGGTCTGAAAAGAAAGGCTTTTTAAGCGAGCGATTCAGGGTTAGCAAGCTCGCGTCTTTCTCTCCGTCGTGGGCGGCGCTGGTAAAACGAAAGCCGCCAGCATAAGCGTTTCTGACTTACAGGTAAGTTCCTTCGCGCTTGCCCTGCTCCCCCACCCACCGCGACGTGACGGTCATTCTTTGGCTTCGTGCTGTGTTTGGGAACCGGGTCCTGGCACCACCAGGGCGGTGGGCATTTCAGGAGAGGCGGGAAGAGGGCCAGAGGGACACCCAGGGTGGAGGTTGGGCGCTGGCCTGCAGCTGGCTGGTGGGGTGACTGCACGGGGTGACCGCACGTGCCAGCAGCCCCGCGGGTCTCACCTGGGGACCTGGCTGTGAGCTTCTGAGTCTGAGTTCGCCCGGGGCCTGCGCTGCCATCACTCACCACTTGCCCTGCGCCCTTGGTGCCGCCTGCCCTGCCAGCCCCTGCGCAGCCTGGAACACTCGTGTGTGCCGTGGGGCGTAGGGTGGACATGGGAGGCAGGGCGGGGGTGGGGGGCGTAGGGCGTGGTGCTGTGTGCAGGGACGGCCAGGGCGCGTGTGGGGTGTGCCAGACATGCGCGGGGCGTGGGCGCTCCTGGCTGTCCAGGGGTGGCAGGGTGGCCGCTGAGGGTGCGACCTCGGCTCCCGGGAGGCTGGCCCTGTCCGCGGCCGCCTGGGCACTGACGGGCGCCCACCCCTCCCCGCAGACCTGCATGGCCATGGTGGAGCAGAGCCAGGTGTGGGTGGGCTCCGAGGACTCAGTCATCTACATCATCAGCGTCCACAGCATGTCCTGCAACAAGCAGCTCACGGACCACCGCCATGGCGTCACCCACCTGGCCGTGCCCGCCACCGCCTCGGCGCCCAGGTGAGGCCGGCACCTCTGCGGGGCTCCTGGAGGGGCTGGAGGACAGTGTCTCCGGGGTGGGGGGATGGCGGGCAGCGGTGGCTGTGACGAGGGTGGGCCTGGAGCACCGGGAGGGCAGCCCTGCCGCAGCGGTGCCGGCCAGCACGGCTCTCCCTGCTGCGCTGAGGTCAGAAAGCTGGATTCCTGTGGGGGCGCTGAGTTTTCAGTGTCGGCTCCACCTTACGTGCCAGTGAACCCCATCCCCGGAAAGGCATTTGGGTGGGGGTGAGGGGTGGGGGGTGGGGATGGGGCCCCTGGCGGAGCTGCCAGGCCGAGAAGCCGCCCTGGCAGCATCAGTCCAGTGTAGCTCAGCCTGTTCTGCCCTGGGGGGGTCCCTACCTGGGGCGCCGGCGCGGCTGAGCATGAGTCTGCGCGCAGCGAGGTGTACTCCTGCAGCGTGGACGGCACGGTCCTGGCCTGGAACGCGAGCACACTGCGGGTGACCAGCCGGTTCCAGCTGCCCGGCAGCAGGCTCTCGTCCATCAGCCCCCACGAGGGTCACCTGTGGTGCTGTAAGTGGCCGCCCCGCCCGCAGCGCTGCAGCACGCCCTTGGCTCACGTCGCCACCGCACGACCCGCCCGCTTGGCGCCCCGCTGCCTGCCCAGGCTGTGCTTTGGGGGCCGCCTTCCTGCGCATGCTGCCCCCCGCATCTTGCTGTGCCCGCTGGTGGGGGACGCTGGCCTGTGGCTGTGGCCCATGCTCGGGCGCTGCTGCCGGCCCAGGGTGTGTCGGCGGGGCTGGGGGCAGTGAGGGCAGTGCCTGGGGGTCGGCCTTTCTGGACGCCACGGCGGGCTGCTCAAGCGTCATCTTCCTGGTGAGCACCGGGCAGCCGGGGCGCTGGCTGCCGACGGTCGTTACGGGAGCCGAGTCCACGGAGCAAAAGCAGAGACCTGGGCGTGTGGCTGCGCTGTGACAGCGCCACGTCCCGCCAGGTGGTGCCCCCACCACGCCCTGTGAATGCCCCCGTGCCCCCCCCAACCGGGCGCCCTGCTCTGGAGCCTCCCGAGCTGCCCAGTCCAGCATCAGTGCTTCCTTGCGCCGGGGGGACGCGTCTCGCTGTGTGGACGCTGCAGCCTGCTGGTGGCTCTGTGGGCCGAATTGGCCCCGACCAGCCCTGGGAGAAGCCGCCGGCTGGCTCTGGCACGGCTGCGGGAGGTCCCAGCGCCCGCACCCCACGAGCTGCGAGGCTTCTCGCCGTCATGGGTGAGGGTGGCGCCCGCCCCGGGGGCACCCAAGAGGAGTCTCGCAGCCCCACTCCTGCCAGCCCGCGGGCTGCAGAGGCCGGAGGGTGAGGCCACTGGGCCTCACGTCTCTGTCTGGCAGCTGCTGCTCCGCTTCCCTGCGTGCTCTGCAGCGCGCAGTGTCTCTGCCCGACGTGCCCGTCTCCTCGCCTTCGGAGGCTGCGCTGAGGGCCACGCCCCTCCTGCTGGCCAGAGCCGGTCGCCTCTCGGGGATGCAGCGCCCGACACTCCACCCGCCCCCCCGGGTCCCTGCACTGCCGCTCAGTTGGTGTCTTACGGGACTGGACGCCTCTAAAGGCCTTGCTGGCGTGTTCCGTGCTCTTTCGTGGCAATTAGGGGGAAATCTGCTTAAGACAGCGTTTCTGACGAACGTCCAGCCCCGGGAGTCCAGGTGTCCATCCTGCACCCTTGCCCTGACCTTTGGGCTTCCTCAGTGCCTCCCAGAAGCCGAGTCTGCCGGCCGCTGCCGTGCTCCGCAGCCTCGGGCACTGGCGTCCTGTTCACGTCGGTCCTGTGCTCCGGGGGCCGCCGCTGTCCCGTGTTCTCTGCCCCGCCCTCCGCGGCCCAGGGAGCGGCCGGAGGAGTGAGGGCGGGCGGTAGCCGATCCATTCCAGTCTCCTCTCGCTGGGTGGGGCACCCCGAGCAGGCCCAGCAGGCCCCTCCCTGTCCTGGGAGGGACCGTCCAGCCTGGGAGTCCGCGGTGCAGCTGGGTCCGGGTGAGGCCTCGTGCATACATGGGTCAGGCCCAGGCTGTCGCTGGGCGGTCAGTAACTCTGGACAGGTGCCTGCCTCGTGCTCTTAGTTGTTCCCTCCTTGGGAGGTGGGCTGCAGCCCTGCTGTGCCCGGGAGAGCCTCACGGTGAGGAGCTCCCAGAGGCTGCAGCAGGTGTAAGCGCCCCCAAGAGCTGGCCCCATGCGGGGCCGAGTACACACATCCAACTGGCCGATGTGAAGGGGGTGCCCCCACCCCAACGCTGGGATCCCAGGAGGGACCCCTCCCCTGCTGATCCCCTGTGCCCACCCGTGTCACCGCTTGTCTATCCTTTGGCCCCGGCTGGGGTCACCTGAACAAGCCCCCCGCTTCTCCCCACCGTGGTGCACCTGGCCCACCTCTGCCCCCTGCCCTCTGCATGCCAGCCGTGCAGGGGCACACACGAGGGCCACAGGGTGGGGGGAGAGCCGCAAGGGCCTGAGTACTGGCGGGGGGCACGGGGCGGCGCAGAGGGCGCGAGGGCCTGTTCCCCGGTCCCCGTGGGTCGAGCTGTTCTGCAGGGCACTGCTTCCCCCCTGGGCTCAGGAGTGGCCGGCGGCTGCGGGCAGGGCCAGTGGGCGGCCCAGCCCTGGGCAGTTTCTCTGACGAGGCCGAGCGCGGCCCGTGTCACGGGTAAGGGGGCTGGCCTCGGGCAGGTGCTCCTGGCCACCCCTGCTGACCCCGTGACCTGCTCCCGCCCCCCCCGGCCCGACTCCCACAGACAAGGAAACCTGGTTTGGGAAGAGACTTTTCCCCGCGCGACTCACAGAAACTAGCGATGCGGACGCGGCAGAGGCGGGCGGGGGTGGGGGCTGGCAGGGCGGGCGCTGCGGGCTGCTCATCCTCACCCCGGCGGGCGGCGGCCGTGGCCCCACGTGCTGTGCAGAGCACTGAGCAGGCTGTGAGGGCGGCGGGCACGGGGTCACCACTGGACGGGGCCCGCGGCTCCGGGGCTCTGCCGCCCCTCGGGCCTGCGTGGGGCCCTGTGGCCTGACCTCGTCCGGCCTCGGCCCGCAGGCACGGGGGACAGCATCGCAGTGGTGACCACGAGCGGGTTTCTTCGCCAAGAGCTGAGGATTGATGAGAACTCCCGAGAGACAGGCACCTCCTTCCTGGGCTTCCAGCTCCTCCCCGAGGTACCCGGCAGCTGGGGTCCCCCCCGGGGCTCCCCCCGGGCCACGGCGCCTGGTGCACTGTGGTCTCTGTTTCAGCAGGAGCAGCTGTGGGCGGCCTACACCGGGTGCCCCAACATCTACATCTGGAGCCTGAAGGACCTGGCCCGGCCGCCGGAGAGGATCCCCCTTCAGGACTGCGCCGAGGTCACGTGCATGATCAGGGTGAAGAGCCAGGTGCGGCCCGGCAGGACGGGGCTGGGGGGGCGCCACCCCGGCACTCGGCACTCGGGGCCCCGAGTGCCCGCCTCCCTGCGCTGACGCCTCGCCCCGCCCCGCAGGTCTGGGTGGGCGGCACGGGGCTGTCGCCTGGGGCAGCCAAGGGGAAGATCTACGTGATCGACGCCGCGAGGAGGGCGGTGGAGAAGGAGCTGGCGGCCCACGCGGACTCGGTGCGGACCCTGTGCTCGGCCGAGGGCAGATACGTGCTGAGCGGCTCGGGCCAGCAGGAGGGCAAGATCGCCATCTGGACCGTGGAGTGAGCGTGGGGCAGCACGCCTCGGGCCTCACGCCGCTTCCTGGGGCTCCCCGGGGCCCAGTTCCGACACCAGCCCCTGCGCGTTCTCTGGGGCTCACCGGGGAACGGCGCCAACGGCTTCCGGGCCAGGGGCCTCCCGGGCCGCCGCCGGCCTCCGTGGTGACCTCCGCTGAGAAGTCCCCGCTGCGTGGTCTAGAAAGCGCCAAGCCCGGAGGCAGCCGAAGCGGTCAGCGAGCCGCGGTGACCCGCAGCCCGGGCCCTGGCCGCCTCCCTCCTTCCTCCACTCACACTCGGCGGGCGTGGGGCCCGCGCCGGCCTCCAGCCTCGGGCCGCGAAGCGGCTGCTCTGCGGCGGGACGGGCGCGCCGGCCCTGGAGGTGCGCTGCGCGCAGGGGAGCAGACCCGGGGCGCGGGTGAGGCCGGCCGGGCAGGCGCTGTCCTGGCCAACTACCGGGACGGGAAACCCGGCCTGTCCGCCGGAGGCTGCAGATGGGCCATGCCCGGCGGGGTCCCAGCCCGCGTCTGCGTCCTCAGCGCTTTCTCACTAACGGGGGCCACGACAGCACGTGCCGGACACCCGCCCCCCGAGCTCGCGCGGCTGCAGGTGTGGACGGCCCGTCCCCGCGCGAGGGGGGCAGGAAGGCACCTGAGGGCCATGTGCTGCCGCCGGCGGCCCGGGCACCCCCCACCATAATAAACGAGTTTGTGTCATCAGCGTCGCGGGCGTCACCCCCCGCCCGCCCCCGTTCCCAGCACTGACTTCAGTCCGGGGCCCTGCGGGGCTCGCGTGCTGCGTTCCCGGCCCCGCCAGGTTCTCGCAGCGCAGACTCGTCCTCTGCCCGGGGCTCGCCGCCTCCGCGTGACGGCGCGAGCGTCTGCAGCAACCAGGCGGAAAAGCGGGCGCTGGGACGCGCCGTCCTCGCCGAGGGCCTTGGAGCAGGAGGGCAGGGCCGGGCGGGCTGGAGGCGGGCGCCGCGCCCAGCCGTGGACAGGCCCCGCCACGGAGCGCCCGTCTCCGCAAGGCCAGGACGAGCCGGATCCACCAGCTGCCGTCCCGCCGCGGCCCAGAAGCCGGGCTTAGGTGGGCAGCGACGTGCGTTGGCCTAGAAGCCGACCTTCCCGGCCCAGTCCCGGCTGCGGGGGGCCGGCCACGGCCGTCGGAACCGGGGAGGAAGCGTCGAGGCCATGGTGGGGGGCGGGCATCGGGCCACACCAGCCACGCTCAGATGTCGGGGCTCACGCTTGGAAGTGACTAACATCTGAGCTGAAAGTGCAAGCGAGACCTTTGTCCGTCTCTAGAAGGTTCCCCAGGAGGGGGAGCGGGCGACGGCGCGGTCGGGAAGCGGCCGTCGCCCGCCGTCCTCAGCCTGCACGTCCATTTCTCGCCACGGGCGCCAGGGCGAGGCCGAGGCTCCTGACGCCGCGGAGCAGGCGCTTTGTCCCCCAGCCCCGCCGCGGGCTGTCCCTCACGGGCGGGAGAACAGCGTCTGTCCCCCCGGGGGAGACAAAGCGGGGAGAACAGGGTGAGAATCGGTCACGTTTCGATAGACGCGCTGGGGCGACCCGGGCCAGCCGTCAGGAGCTGCCCGAGGGGCCGCCTGGAGGGCCCTGGCGCTATGGGCTGGACGCCGCCCGCGCTGCCCAGGCGGGGACTGCGCCTGGCCGGTGGGGGGGCCGCCGGGGAGCACACGGTGACTCCTGGCAGCTGTTCGCCGAGTCAACACACGCCCCGGGCTCAGCGGACGCGGGCACGTTCGCGGTGCGCCAGCGTGGGGGCGGCTCTGCCCCTGCAGCCCCCACAGAGCATCCAGACGCCGCCCGCTGGGAGGGGCCGGGTGGCCGGCCGGTCGCCTGGTGGACGAGAGGAAGCCGAGATGCGGGCAGCACGGGGCCCCCGTGGGCGGCAGAGGACCCGTCCAGGCCACGCACCGAGCCGTTTCCACGGCGAGCTGTGCTCGAGGGGTGCAGCCGGGGCATGGAGCTGGGCGCTGCCGCTGGGCAGGCTGTGTGGACACGCCTCCCGGGCCGGGCGGGGGCTGCGGTCCCCTGAATTTGAGTCGGGGCCCAGGAGCCCCGTGGTGCCTGCGTTGAGGGTTCGCCCCGGCCCTGTCCACGTGGCTCAGACCAGAAGCTGCTCTGAGAGCACGAGCTGGAATTCAACAGGACAGGCAGCTGGTCGCGGCTGGCCCTGGACACACCCCCGCCCCCCAAGGCCGCGTCTCCGCTCGCGGCTGTGCTGGGGCCGCTACCCGAGGTGGGTGCTCCCAGCCCCCGAGTCCCCCTCCCCCCGGCACCTTCCAAGCCTGCGCAGTTCTGTGAGCGCCTCAGACTGGGGTTCCCCTCCCAGCTCACTGTCCGCTCCCCAGTGACGGGGACGCCTCGCAGCTCCGGTGTGGGGTGCCCGGGCACGCGTGCACGCGGGTCCTCGCCGAGCTCCTGAACAGAACGTGCGCTCGGCCCGTCTCCTGAGGGGAAACCCTGGCGAGAGCCGCCCACCTCACCGCGGGGAGGCCTGCGGCCGGGAAGGGCTTGGCGGCAGCGCGGTCCGGACAGGGCCTCGAGCCAGACCTGCGGGTCTCGCCTGACGGACACTCCTCCGGGGCCTCTGCCTCCCCGGGCGGGCGGGCGGGCAACGCGCGTTCTCGCCTGGAAGGTCACCTGGCGCTCGCTTCTGGGACGCAGGTGCGCGACGCGCCCATCGAGTTTATTTTGTGATAAAACAAGAGCCCACGGAACAGAAGCGCCGGCTCCTCCGCCGGGAGAACGTAGCCGCGTGCGCTCCCGGGGCGGGAGGACGGCGCGGGGCTGTGCTCCTCAGCGGCCGGGCCTGCAGCCAGGGGAGAGCCTCGGAGGGGCCCGGGCAGGGCGAGGGGGCCAGGGCCGGGCCGCAGGGCCTCGGGTCCAGACGTGGCTGCCCCGGGCAGACAGCAGGGGGCGCCGGGCGCCGACAGGAGCAGGGGCAGGCGCTGGGCTGTAGGGCTCAGGGCGGGGCTCAGCGGGGTGGCAGGCAGGAACCCTGGCCTCCCCCCGCCCCAGGTTGGCACCTGCAGACGCACCACCCCTTGCTTCCGGGAGGTAGCTGGGGTCACAGCACAGGGCCCGGCCTGGCTCCCGGCCTGTGCCCTCGGCCCCCGCACTCAGGCTGCGCCAGGGCCCACACCCTCTGCCTCCCTGAGGTCCCAGCGACCTTGTCCCCAACTTGGCGCCCTGCTGGGCCCCCCCATTCAGCCTCCCACACCCTGGCCTGCCGCTCACCACCCAGGGGCCGGGGAGCCTTTCAACAGCCCCGCCCACCTGGCTCCCTCCAGCTAGAGGCCGTGGGCAGCTCCAGCCCCTTCACTTCCTCTGCAGCCACCTGCGGGGAGAGGGGGGACAGGCACCCAAGGCCCACCCCCCCACTCTTCGCTACAAGCCCTTTCCAGGGCTGTGCCCCCGAAGAGTGCTCCGTGGGCACTCGGGACCCCCCAGGACGGACCTTCAGAAGCAAAGCGGCCGGGCTTGAGGCCACACCTGGCCCGGGCCCCTAGCCGTCTGGCCCGTGCCCAGGGCAGGCAGCGTGCCGTGGGGGCGTCCTGCTGGCTCTGGTGGGGTGGGCAGAGCTGACATCCCATCACTCCCTGGGCCAAGGGAGCCCCCCGAGGGGCTGGGACCTGGGCCCCAAGGTGTGTGGGCTGGGGCGCCTCTAGGGAAACGTCCCAGGTCTGCGAGCACCCTCCGGCCCCATAGGCCCGGCCAGGCCCCGGGAGGGCAGGGGCAGGCGGTGGGGAGGGACCCACGTGCACGCGCTCACCCGGCAGGGACCGGTTAAAAAGGTCAACCGCAGTCGGAACAGTGAGACGGACGCGGGGGTCACACGGAGGCCGTGGCCAGCCGGGTGGACGCGCTCACGGCCGGGTCACCCGGACAGCAGCGGCCGACGGACACACGGCCGGGCCCCTCTGCCCGCCCCCAGGGACGTGGCGCCGCGAGCACCCTCTCTGGGCACCCTCCGCCTCGTGAACACACAGCGTGGCCGGGGTCAGCCGGGGCTGGGGCCGGCTCCAACTGAGAAAGCCGACAGAGTCCAGCTCACAGCGGAACTAAATAGCTTCGTCCCCAGACGGTACCAGTCCGTGCTGACCGGGTCACCGCCTGAGGGGCGGCTGCTCCGCTCGGGCCCTGGCGGTGCCGTGAGGCAGAGGTGCGGCCGGGCCGGGCCAGGCCCAGGGCAGGGCCGCCATCGCTGGGGAGTGGGCCTGGTGGCGGCCCCCGCAGGCCTGCAGACCCCAGGCCCGGGAACAGGCGGGAAGCTGGGGGGACCTGGACGGACAGGTGCCCGCGGGGCTCAGCAGCAGCTGCAGGTGGACAGGGCTCAGGAAGGACCAGGCCGGCGGGGTCAGCTGTTCCGAAGCTGGCTCCAGTCCAGTGTGGATGGCAATGTTTGGTGCGTGCCAGGCAAACCCAGCGTTGGCTGCTGTTTCCCACTAGCTGCGGAAGAGCTGGCATCACCCAGGCCACACTGCCGCGGGCCCCCAGGGCAGGGGCTGCTGGAGGGCCAGACTCCACACAACCAGGGCCTCTGGGGCCGCTGACCCTCTGAGGCGGGCCCCGCTGCTCCTCCCCCAAGGGACACTGCTGCTTTAGCATCCACCTGGCTCTCAAGGGCGGGTCTCTGGGGTCAGTGGCCCGCGTGCTCATCGGCCACCTGGAAGACCTGGTGCCAACGGGGCAGGGGACGGGTCCGACCCCGACGGCCCCCGTCACGCCGCCAGGAGCTCGCGTGCCCGCAGGGGCCGGGCTTCTGCCTCGCGCGCCCCGCGGCGTCTCCAGGAGACTCCTGACGTAGCGGGCCGCTCCAGGAAACAGAAAATGCCGATCTGACTGACCGCCGTCACCCTCGCTCGGTGCTCAATCGAGTCCTGTCGCACAGCGGCCGCCCACGCCCTGGCTGGACACACGCCGCTTCGCGCCTGTTCAGAGGCCCTCATGCCTGGCTCAGGGGCCGGACCCCTCGGCCGCGGCATGCACCCAGCCCCCGGCGTCAGAGGGCCCAGCCCCGAGCCTCACGCGCCGTGACGCTCACCCGGCCGGCCCTGAGACACAGGCAGCGCAGTGAGCCGCGCTCAGCAGCCGCCGGGGCCCAGCACAGCAGCCGCCGCCGCTCTGCGAGCCCCCAGCAGGGGGTGAGCCTCCCGCGGCGTCCTCAGGTCAGGGTGGCGTTCAAGGCCGGCATCTCCAGGGCCGTCTCCCGGGCTGTGGGCCAGGCCCGGCCTGAGCCTCCCCCCTCCGTGCTGTGGGGCGTGGTGTGTGGGCTGCCGGGGCATCGCCTGGGGTCAGCGCCCCCCTGGCTTCCAGCGGAGGGGCCCCTCAGAGCAGCGAGAGCACCAGCTGAACAAGGAGGTGGCGTGGGCAGCCGGGAAGGGGACGTGCGGTCCCCGAGCCCCGGAGAGTGTCGCTTCTCAGTGAGGCGCCAGCGCGCGGGCTCCGAGCCGAAGGGCCGCGTGGGCGTGGGACGGGGCCGAACGCCTCTGGCTGCGCGGAGTCAGGGGCCGCCGCCGAGCGGCTGGGTTAGGAGGCCCGGTCGGCGTCAGCCGGCGCCGTGCGCACCTCCAGGGGCTCCGGTGACCAGGGCACAGCTCGGCCTCGCGCCGCAGCACCGAGGGGGGGAGAGCGGGCGGCCGGGCACACGAACAGAGTCGTTCCTTCAAATACACAAAAAATTCAAGTAATTTATTTAAAAACGGTTTCGTTTCGTCCTGAAACCCGCGTGTGCATCTGCCGCGCGCGCGAGGTCTGTGCGGAGCCGGCGCCCGCCCCCGAGGGACTGGACAGACGGGCTCCGAGGCTGGCCCCGCGGCGGCCGGGCAGACACCGCGCCCCTGCAGAGGGCCGGGCGGGCGGCCGCGTCCAGAAGCGTCCTGCGGGAGCCGCGCTGCCCGGGCCCACGGGTGGCTGGGAGACGCCCTGGGGGCTTTGGAACCACGACAGGGCGGCACGGACCCCGCTCCAGGCGCCTGCCAAGCCCACGGGGGGTTCCTCCACCCGCCGGGCACCCTGGGCCGGCCTGCTCCGCTCTGGGGAGCACAGACGCCTCTCCCCGCTGCCACCCGGGGCTCCTGGTGCTGTCATACCCGCGGCACAGGAGAGGCTGAGCCGAGGAAACCACTTCTGAAAAAAATATTTTTTTTTCCCTAAGATAACGATAAAGAAAAATAATCTCCGCCAGCGGCAGCACCGACGGGAGCCGAGACCCCCGCGAGGCGGCTGGCGCCGGGGCTCTCGGCCACCCAAGGGCGGTGGCGGCCGCGGGCGGCGGGGAGCGGCTGTCTGCTGCCCAGCCCGGTCTTAGAAACGCAAAATCTGAGCTTTTTTCTTGGCTGTTTCTGCTGCGAGTCGGCTACACTGCGAACACGCAGCGCAACACCCCTGCGGGGGAAAAGGCAGAATCGAAATCAGAAAATCTTCTCAATTAAAAAAAGACTTTAAATGATTTCTTTAATGTGGAAAAAGCAGCGCGCGTGGTATCCGCCGACAGTGCAGAGCGACCCTGCGGCCACCGCGTGCGTGTCCGCGCCGCCGGGGCCTGGCTGGTGGCGCCGAGGCCACGCCTCCCACCTGCCCGGCCCGTCGCCCGCCCCCGGTGTGCCCAGGCCGGCTCACACCACGGACTCCGTCTCCACCGGCGCGGGCGGGCCCTCCTTCCGGGAGAGCTGCAGGACGGTGGGCTTCCCGCTGCCGCCCGCGGCCCGGGAGGACAGGCCTTCCTGCTCCTCCTTGGCCTCCTCCGACACCTCGGGGTAGACCACCAGGAACGTGGCCGTCAGGAAGCCCAGGAAGGAGCCCGCAGAGGCCACCATGGGGATGACACGCACGGTCCCCACGGCTTCGACCACGCCCCCCAGGGCAGAGGCCACCAGGATCTGGGAGATGTACACTTGGCAGGACAGGATGGCACAGTCGATGCCAAAGCCACGCTTGGAGCTCCCAGGGCTGTGGTTGACGTACTGGCGTAGGAGAGAACGGGGGAGCAGACGTCAGGGCGACAGCCTGGCCCCCACGCCAGCCCTGCAGGGGTCCTCCCACTCCAGTCTCGCACACGCACGCACACGCGCCCCCCGTCCCGGGGACCGTCCTTGCTCCGCGGCCGTCGCGGTCCGGGCACACACCTCCTTGATGTCGTGGTACTGCCCCAGCAGGGCGTAGGGGCAGTAGGAGATGCTCATGGAGACGACGCCCATGGTGCTGATCATCACCATGGCGACGTACACATTGGCGAACATGGCCATCACAGCTGTGCCGATGGAGAAGCCCAGCGTGCCCAGCACGTAGATGACCCGGATGCTCAGGTCATAGTTGTCCAGGTACTTCTGCAACAGGGCTGTGGGGACAGCCGCCAGCGCCGTGAGATGCCTGGGCCCACGGGCAACGAGCCCGCCCTCGGCTGGTCCCAAGCAGGCTGGCCGCGCCGTGGCACCCGCCGAACGAGCGTCAGCCAGGAGCCCACCTGGCTCCTGGGCCCCTGTCCTGGCCCCAGCTCCCCAAGGCCTCCCCGCCAACCCGGGCCCGGGAAGGGTGAGACCTCGCCGGGCCCCTCACAGGCACTGGGGCCTGGAAGCGCAGACAGCGCCATCTGACTTGGCCCCTCCTGGCCCGCTCCGGCTGGCGGGAAGCAGGCCATCGCCTCCCTGTCGGGCCAGAGAGCAGGCAGGGGCCAGCCCGGACAGTTCGGCCGCCAATTCCCTGAGGTGAGAGTGGGGTGGTGGCCCGGGGATGGGTCCCCGACCTGCATCCCGCGGAAGGAAAGTGGCCTTTGGGAGAGGCCCCGCTCCTGCCGGGCGGCTCCTCCAGACGCCCTGACCGGGCAGTCTCAGGAAGGCCTCAGACGCCCACTTCTCTGCCCACACCGCCTCCCCCAGCCCTCCTAGCTAAGGCACCAAGACACTCCTGGGCTGGGGCACAGGTTGCCAGGCCTGGCACTGGCAACGGGCCGAGACCCTATAGCCTCAGGGGCCCTGCTCGGTCAGGGGCTGTCCCCCTGCCGGTGTCTCCAGCGGCTGGGCGTCCGCTGGGGGACTGCTTACCTGAGCAGATGGCACCAGTGGTGGCGTAAATGACCAGACCCCAGCAGCCCATCTTCACCCCGGCGTTGTAGGCCTGCCACGCAGTGGAGTTGGAGGGAGCCTGTCCCAGAAAGAGGAGGGGTCAGGGCCAGGGCTACATGCCTTCCCCTGCGGGCAACGCAGGTCCTAGCACGTCTCAGCCGTGAGCCAGTCGTTCTAAAGGAGGGACCAGCGTCGCGAGGAGACGGCCCCTGTCCCACGGGGACCTCAGACGCGTGGGACGCTGCCCCCGCTCCCTGGGCCAAGCCTCCAGGGTGGACTGGATTGACCTCCAGCTCTTGCCTCTGCCCTCCTGGAGCCCAATGCCCACGAGCAGCATAGCCCAGGAGCATGTGGGGTGTGTGGCGGGGGCCTGAGCCTGTGCCGAGCTCCTGCGCCCCTCCTGGTCTCCGGGTTGACTCGGGCCGCGGGTGCAGAGCGGCACCCAGCTGGGCATGGCCACCAGGAACCTCGCACTTATATGGAGCCAGTCTCAGGGCGGGCCGTGCCCAGCAGCAGCTGAAGCCACCTTGGGTCCGGTGTGGCCGGGGACTCGTGGGGGACACTCCCCGGGCTCCTGTCCCAACCCTGGGCCACAGTCATGGGGCTGGCCCTGTGCCCCCCACATAGAGATCGAGCCACCCCATTCCCCTGGGCCTGGGCGCCCGGCGCTGCGGCGGGTGCACTCACCTTGGGGTCTCCCTCGAAGATGACCTGGCCCATGAAGTCGGTGTAGAACACGGCCTCGGCGATGACGGAGAACCAGGTGAGCAGGTGGCACAGGCAGAGCCGCATCAGCGCCCTGGGCATCTTGAGCATGGACAGCCAGAGCAGCCGCACCGTGGTCTCGGCCTCGCCCTCCTCGCTCTCCGTGTCCCCGCTGGAGGTGGTGGCCCCGCTCTGGTGGCGCTGCCGGCACCGCTGCCGCTGCCGCTTCTGCAGGTCGTACAGGTCGCTCATGCTGCGGGAGGGCTTGATGAGCACCACGGCGTGGGCCCGCCGGCAGCGGTAGCGGTGCGAGCCGACCTTGCCGTAGTAGGAGAAGGTGCCGGACGCCTGCCGGCGGAACACGTGGCGCCGCCGCCTCACGGAGCCCGAGGGCTTCATGTCCGCCCGGGGGGGGCCGCCGCCGAGGACGTCTTTTGGGGAGGAGCCGCTGCCGTTGGGGACCTTTGCTTCGCTCAAGTGATTCTCCAGCAGCATCTCGTCCTCCTTGGGGTTCTCCCTGAGCAGGGTGGACAGGCGGGGCAGCATGGCCTTGCTCAGCTCCTGGCTGGTGCTGTGGGGGGTGCTGGGGTAGGAGGCGTCGTGGAAGATGGACGGCTCGATGTCGTGCAGGAAGAGCCCGGGCTCCAGGCCCAGGGCGGCATCGGGCACGTGCAGCACCGAGTCGCTCTTGCTCCGCACCATGTCCACGTCCAGGTAGTCCAGGGCCAGCTCGTGCTCCGACTGGACCTCGTCCGGGAACAGGGCGGCGCCGTCCAGGGCAGGCGGGCGGGCAGCGGGTGGGGGCTCGGCCGCGCCGCGCTCCTGCTGGGGGCAGTACTGCTCCTCCTCGATGCTGCACAGGTGCAGCCCCACCGACACGGTGAAGACCACGGCCGCGAAGAAGAACAGCACCTGGTTCTGCGTCCGGAACCAGGAGCCCAGGAAGGTCTGTGTCCAGTCCAGTCCCCCCAGCACGTAGCCGATGGCCCCGCCGAGGCCTGTGGTGGGGAGACAGAGCAGTGGCGAGGGGGCCAACAGGCCGGGAGAGCAGACGGGCTCCCTGCTGTCACGTCACCAGCAGGACAGCCTGGGACGGAGGGGACAAGATGGCATGGAGACGAAGGAAGGACTGCAGCTGCCCTCGGGCAGGCATGCCAACCCCGGGCTCTCTCTGAAGTCAGGAGCAGGGGTGAGTTGTGGTGCCCCCACAGTAACCGGGGACGGCCACCGCCCGGTCATATGCACAGAGGCTCCTGGCTGGGGTGTGGGCAGCACGTCATCCCAGCCCGGCCCCGCAGGCTTGGAGGCCCCTGCCACCTGACTGCCCGGTGGCGTCCACGCCCTGGGGTGGGCACGGCCCGGAAGCAGCCTCTTCCCCGGGTCCCAGACGAGCAGGCAGGGTGGGGCGGCGCTCACCAGCAGAGAAGGCGTGGATGTTGAGAGCCATGTCCTGCTCCTCGCTGTCCACCACGTCCAGCAGGTAGGCGCGGATGGGCCCCTCGGTGGCATCAGCGTTGAAGTCCAGCACCACAACCCCCAGCACTGTGAGGACGATGCCGATGGGCTGCCGGTTGGGCACATCGCCGAGGGCGAGACCTGGACAGGGCACATGGAGAGGTCAAGCCCGGCTCCAGGGGCAGCGGGTGACACAGGCATCCCGCCCTGGACAGACCCGGGAGGGAGAGGGTCCTACTCCCCGGGCACAGCAGTGCTCTGCCAGCTGGCACTCGCCTGGGGCAGGGGGTGTGCCACGGGCAGTGGTGAGCGTGGGGACGGACTGCTGGGTGCACCCACCACCATGTGGTTGCCCTGGGCAGGGCCTGATGAGTGCCCAGGGCAGGGATGCCCCTGGGGGCCGCCTGCACACCTCGGGCCCCCTCGGCCTGAGCACTCGCCCAGGCTCTGCGGAACCTGTCTGGGTAGCGCCATGTGGTTGTCAGCCAGGCTTCGCTTTCCCACTTGCTTTCTAACGAAGGAGCCTTCCGAGGCGACCTGGGTACCCCTCACAAGCCAGACGGCCTCCGGCCAGGCCCACGGCCAGCGCCAGTGTAGGTGGGAGAGTCCAGGTCTGGATGAACCGATACCTAGATGCCGACTGCTGTGCTGCGGGCTTTTCAAGCTAAACCCCTGAGGGTCTGGGCGCCACGGGGTGTGGCTGGGAACCCCGGGAGAGCAGTCCTCACACACCCAGTCTCACCTGCCGCAAGTGAGTCCGCCCCTGAGTTCAGAGACCAAACCGTTGACCGTGAGGGGAGCTAAGTGGGGTTAGACTGCGCACCCAGCAGAGGGGCACCCTCTCGCACGAGGGACCAGCCCTGGAACACACCGGTGCCCGGACTCCTCAATACCCAGGACACACATTGGACAGAAAAGTGAGGTGCCCAGGGTGGGAGGCTGGGGTCACCGGCTTGGGCGGAGCAGCCACCCCCACCACCTGGAGGAGCCACAGGCCCTCCGGCCTCACAGGCCAAAGGGGGGAAGGGGCAGCGCCCCAAGGAGGCAGACACGGTGCTGTGCCCACAGGCAGCAGGAGGGCAGCAGCCCCGGATGCTGGATGACGAGTGTCCTGCCAAGGGGGCCCCCCTTCTTTGCCCCACCAGTGGGGTTGAGGCTCAGAAGGGCACTGCCCGGCTCTCCCAAGTCCTGGGAAAAAAGGGGCCCCCACGGCCCCCATGCAGCCCCAAGCCAGAGAGGCTCCGGGCCTCTTCCTGCCGCCCGAGACGGGACCCCGTGCGGCGGCCAGTTCAGGGACGAGCCGCGTCTCAAAAAGCTGCTGCCGGCAAGCCAGGTTGTTTGTGCAGCTTCGGGGGCGCCCTCAAGGCGAGAGCTATTTTCCCACGCGTAGTCCGTGACTGGAAACAAAACCACCCGACAAGGCAAATCACGAGAACGTGAGGTCTGGGCACCTTCAACACGGGGCCGGGAGAGGAGGGGGAAGGTCACGCGCGCGGCCCCCCGGGAACCGGACGTGGGGTCAGACGTGCAGGAGCCGCGGCCGCAGGACGCCGCCGCCCCCACCCTGCCCCGGCCCCCCCAGCGCCGCCGGCCCCCCGCGACCCGCCCCCCACCCCCCCACCCCCGTCTCGGAGCCCAGGGGCGCGCGGGGACACTCACCGATGGCGGAGCCGTTGAGGAACAGCGCCACGCCGAAGAGCACGCCCACGCACAGCGCGAGGATGAAGGGCCGGCGGCGGCCCCAGCTCAGGGTGCAGCGGTCGCTGGCCGAGCCGATGAGGGGCGTGAAGACGAGGCCGAGGATGGGGCTCAGGAACCAGGTGAGGCTGTAGTACTGCTCCGGAGGCCTGCGGCAGACACGCGCCGTCACCCGGCGGCCCCACGGCCCGGATTCCAGCCCGGCTGCCTGACGCCACAGCCCCCGCCCCCGCCAGGGACGGCCATGCCCACGGGCCCCTGACACTCCTCAGGGGCGGCGCGGTCACTGCAGCAGGAGGGATGGCACCTTGGCACGGGGCAGACGCGCTGCTGCTGCTCTGAAGCATCACCCGTCTCTGAGGAGGGCGGCCGTGGCACAGGCTGGCGCCTGCGCTGCTCCTGTCCCCCTCCAGGGTGCTGCCCACCAGGAGGCGCCCCCTCCCCAGGTACCCCTGCTGCACCCCAGACCACCTGTGCCCCTGGAGGCGGGGACTCGCCCGCGAACCGGACCTGGTGGACTGAACCCTTAGCGGCCAGGAAGGAAGGCGCAGCCCTCCCGGCACAGCCACGCGCTCCACGGCGCGCCCCTGGTGAGATGGGGCACATGCGGGGTCGCCAGCCCACTGACCCGCCCCAGCCCTTGGCTGGCTGGCCTACCCGCCCCTGAGCTGGACAGCCCTGGAGCAGAGAGGAGCTGAGGGTGCGGTGGCCCCGGGGGCTGCCGTGGGGGCTGGACACACGCAGAGCCCTGGGTCCCAGCACAGCGCCCCAGCGCCGGTGGCTGTCCGGACGCACCCCTGCGCCTGCGGCTGGCTCTCTGCCGAGCTTGCTAAGGGAGGCCCTGCTGAGCGGAATATGGGGGGCCATGGGGTGAGCCTGCGCTCTGCGGGCGCAGCCCTTACCCGGAGACCACGGCTAGCCCGGAGAGGCAGGGAGTGGGTGTGGCGGACAGGCACAAGCCCACAGGCATGCGGGGATCCCCGGGCTCCTTTCAGGAAAACAAGCACGGAGCAAGCGGCCAGGCGCCCCGATGCGAATCGGAACGGCCTCCGGCGACGTCAGGCCGGCCAGCTGGGCGCCGGGAGCACACCAACGGCCGGCCGTGGCGGGCGATGACCACGGGCACGCCGCTCCCGACGCCAGCCAGGCAGCGTGGTGACGATCGTGAGCACGGCACACCAGGCCCAGGAGTCCGCCCTTCAGCCCACTGCCCTGCCCCTCTGCCCACACCCCTCCAGGGTGCCAGGGCTGCCTCCAGGACAGTGTCCCTGCCGGCGCCACCCAGAGGGGCTGCTCTTCGTACAGCAGACTGCCCTCCTGCCGCTCTCCCCGAGAGGGCCCTCTTGGGGCCCACCAGCGCCACCCATCTGCCAACCCAGCCGGTCCTCCATCCTCAGTATTAGACTTGGCCAAAGGCGCAGAAGGGCAAAGCAGGCTGCCACGGTGCCCGCTCCCCTGGCCTCATGCCAGGCACCAAGGGGTGCTGAAAATGGGTGCTGGAGGCAGAAAGCACTGGGCAGAGGTGCCTGACCCCCACCTGGGCCCAGCTCCTCACCCCTTCCTGGGATTGCACTCCCTCCCCCGCTCTGCAGGGTGACCCCCAAAGCCAGGCAAGACCCTCTGAGGAGGGGTCCCAAGTCTGCAGAGACCAGAGCTGGCCAGGCCACAGGAGGCCCTGGAGCACACAGGCCTGCGTAGCAGGGTCTCCTGCTCGCCCCTTTTGCCTGCAGGTAACTCAAGCGACAGAAGCCGCCACGCCTGAGCCAAGAGTGGAGGGGGTGAAGGGGGGTGGAGGGGGGTGGGCCCTGGGGCGGCTTCCCTGGTTTCAGCAGGTTGGCAAGACAAACAAGCACTTGCACCCTGTTCCAGCGGCCCCAGAGGGGCGGGCGCCGGCCGGAAGCCCCAGGCAGCCGGCTCCCTCCGTGACTGGGGCTGCGCTGGGACGCCTGGGACAGAGCATTTCCCAGCAAGACCCTAAACAAACACCACCCAGGCCCCAGCAAATAATTTTTGTTTTCTTCCAGGCAGAAGTTGAACAACAATGGTGGGACAGGAAGGGCCCCCGTCCACAGGAAATGCTGAGTGTGTCACGGCTGGCCGGGGCTGGCGAGGTGACAGGCCACGGCGGCCACGGCGGGTCACGCGCAGAGGCCTCCATTCAGTCCCAGTCTGGTCGGACACTCTGGGGCCTGGCGGGGCGCGGGGACCCGGGGGAGCGGGAAAGTGCCCTATACATGTTTAACAAAAGACCTGAAACGGGAGCAGGAACGCACATTCTTCTCTCAGGAGACAAAGCCTCCCCCGTCAAGATACGTTTGTGTTCTGAGACAAGGAGCTCACGCGGGCGCCAGGCTCAGAGAGCAGGTCTCCGTGGGGACCTTGGCGGCCCGGTGTGACCCGACCAGGGCGGAGACAATGGGCCCTGTGGGAACCCATCACGAGGGGGTCCCACTGAGGGCGAGAGACCAAAAGCCAGGGTGCCCCCGTCTGGTGCCCCAGGTACGGAGCAACAGCCACGCCAGGCTTTTCCGAAGAGCGGGGCGCCCAAGCACAGCGCTGCGAGGGCAAACGGGGGGTGGCAGCGTTGTCTTAGCTGCACATGAAATGGCAAGGCTCTGGCTTGAGATTCCAGAAGCTTCCTGAAGAGCAGAGACGCAGGGCACGTTGCAAACCCCCTCTGACACCACTCACGGCTCCAGGTGACGCCAGCAGCCAGGGGGCAGAGGTGCTTCCTGAGCCCCAGGGCCCAGGCTCCTCCGCGCACCCCCTCCACAGGCCCTGGCGGCAGTTAGGAGTGGTGCTGGGGGCTGTCCCCTCCCGGCCCCCACAGCCAGGCAGAGCTGCAGGCCGCCTTCTCCCCAGGCTGCTGGTCTGCGTGGGAGCACCCCACCATCTTAGATGTCCTGCCCGCGTCAACGGCCCCTCGACGTGCCTCGCTCCTTGCTCTCCTGAGGACACGCGAGCTTCCAGACGGCGTGCCTCGCCCACCGCGGTGCCGCAGGAAGCGCCACACGCCCTTGTGGACAGAACATCTGGTGGGTATGCCGCCCGCCGGCAGGCCCCCACCAGGGGCGGCCACGCGGCCTCACCAGCCGAGGAAGGGGCCTGGCCACAGGGCGCTGTGTGAACAACGAGGTGGTTCCCTGGCCAGAGACGGAGCGGGCGGCGTGCAGAGCAGCAGCGCCACAGCGGCCTGCGCAGGCACACGGCGGCCTCGGGCCTGCGACAGAGGTGGATGCTCTGGAGAAACGAGCAGCACAGGCAGCTCCAGCTGCCGGGAGGACACCCTCCACAGTCGGGGCTACCAGACGCCAGGCGGCAGCTGCAGCGCAGCGGGAGGCTCTGGAGGAGGGTGAGGGGCGCCCGACCCTGGGGAGGCCCGGGCGGGGCTGGGGGAACGCGGCTGCCTCCCAGCGCCCGCCTGCACAGAGCAGGTGCTGAGGTGGTTCAACACGCGGTTAAGTCACAACCTGAGTCTGGGAAAAGGGAAAGCTCATCTCTTGGGAAAGGCCACGGTCCCTGCTGTCCGCGACTGGAGCTCTACCGGACGGGTGCCTGCGCCTCCGGGAAGGCCCCTGGACAGCCCAGGGGCCGGTAGGGCCAGTGCCGTGGTGGGGTGAGGTTCTTGCTTCAGCTCCTAGTGAACCCCCACTTCTGCAAAGCCACACCAGCACCCCATCCGCCCCAGAGTTTCCAAGAATGGACTCCTAGAGCATCATGGCCACAGCACCCCCCAGCCAAGTCATGAGTGTCAGGCCTGGGCACACAGCGGGGCGCCCCAGGAGGCAGCCACACGCGCTGCTGTCCCGTCCAGCAAGGGTAACGGTGGGGGGGCACCGGGAAGGCAGCAGCCTGGGGAGCCGGCACAGAGAGCTGCCCCATCGGCCCCCGATCAGGCAGGCGAGGTCTCCAGCTGGCTCGGCGCACAAGCGTGTGGCTGCCGGGTGGCGACGGAAAGCGCGGCCTGCCGAGCCGAGACCAAGGCCATTCTCCCCCGAGCCTGGCGCGGCACCCCAGGGCTTGGTCTCCGGCTGTAAATCTCAGGCGCAGGGTCTGCTCTGAGCCACGCTGAACCCAACCTGCCGGCGTCTGGGAGAGTTACCCCAACCTTCTCTCCTCCTCGATCTGGAAACCCCCAGTTTCCCATTTTGATTCACCCCAGCTAAGTGGGCAGCTTGAGCACAGGCCACTTCCAGTTCATCAGTCAGGCTGACGTCTGCGTCTTGGGAGGTCCCATCCACTGCCGCCCTCCACCAGCAAAGCTGAGACTAGCATTTGTTCTGGAATTTACCATCAGAAGAACCGTCTCAACAAGAGCCCATTTTTGATCTGCGTTTAAGGCGAACAGAAGACCCCACAAGAGCACCTGCCACGAGAACAGGCCCTCCCTCCCAGCCGGGAGGCGCACCACCAGGCTCACCCGGCACATGGCCGGCGCCAGCACTCGGGCCTCCGTCACCCCAGCTCCCGTGGGTGGCGTCTATTTCAACACATATTTCCCTCGTTTTGTTAAAAATTATTTAACTTACTTTGGTTTTCATAATAAAATTAAACGATTGTTTCTTTAAGAAGAGCTGACACAATTTTTTCTATTATCCCACCAAGTGTGTACATTGTTCCTCTTCTGTGTAATCCTGAAAACTGTAACGATCTGCTAAGTTTGAAAATCACTGTAGCACAACACACTGCTTACTGCTAAGACATCGGAAAAACTATTGTTGATTTACCAGCACTTTTATGTACAAAATTTCCAAAATGGGCAGAATTATTCAAGTTTCCCTATAAATCACCTCCTTGGAAAGGCCTCCTGTGATCTGACCACTGCCCACCAGGGGCCAGATCTCTTCTCACACCACTCTGCACTGAGCTCACGCAATGTCCTTGGCTACCCTGGCCAGAATGTGCCCAATCACCCCTGCTTCACTCCCTGACCCAACTTCATCTTTGCCACTGGGAGCTCCACCCAGCACCACCTCCTCCACGAAGCCCCCACGCCCACCCCTTTCCCGTACCCAGTTAGGGTCTTGGGTCCTGGTCACCTTGAGCCCCACCCTTGAACACAGTGGGCAATGGCCAGTATGCTCACTCTCCTTGCCCACCTCACTCCTCTAGACCCCGAGAGGCCACGTGACGCAGGGCTCATCCTCCA